ATATTGGAGACAGGTACCCTTTGTGTTTAGGCTCCTTCTGTGCAGAGTTTAAGCTTGAACCCTGCTGTGCTGAAGCGAAACAGCCACTGGAATATGAAGAAGGCTGATTTAAAGACAAAGAAATTATATCCAAGCATTTAGAGAAGCCATCAAAATCAAAGCCAGACACGGAGAGTTTAGCAGAGGCAGACTGAACGTAGGGTATTTTTAGCATGGACATTAAATGACAGTCGTTTGGATGATAAAGGATGAGAGAGGTGGGGTTCAAGTCGCTTTCCTGCTGTGCAAACCAACGCCCTGTACTGTATATCCTGCGGCGGGAAAAATACGACTTCCTGTTCAGCAAACATTCACAGTCTCAGAGGACGGACAAGAGTGTCTGTCCTAAATAATCTTATGTAAGGAGCAGCGAAGACTGAGGGCAAGAACCCTACATTGTTTAAAGGGTCAAATCAACCTATAATGAAAATGATGCCATCATGTTTTTCATCTTCATCATACATACAGTGATTTGGTCCTCCATTTATTCATTCATTCATTTTCTTTTTGGCTTATTCCCTTTATTAATCTGGGGCTGCCACAGCGGAACAAACCGTCTTCCTCCATTTAAATCCACTTAAAACATTGACGCTTCAAAACGATCATAAAGAGATCAAAACAATAAAAAAATGAATGGATTAATCCAAGTCTTCTGAAGAGACATGATCACTTTATATAATGAAAAGGCTTAAATTAGGATTTGTTCCCGCATAAATAGGGATGATTTAATATCAAGCATTTGCTGTTACTCAGTCTTGACCTGATATCTGCATTTTATCAGTGCTAGGAGTCGATGATTATGGTGCTTCAACAAAATCCATTTTTTTTTAAAAATGTGGAAGATGACTATGACATACAGGCTTAATTAATAATGTCCAAACAATAATCTCCACACTATAAACAAAATTTGTAATAGCTTAAATCCTATGGTTAAATTATAAATACATATTTTCTAAACATATCGAATTATGCTCAGTTAAAAGTATCAATTAGCCTAAATTTAACCTCAACCTACCAAGCAAAGGTTGGGATTTTATTATTTAAGGACTTTTGTTTTAAGAAATTAAGCTGGATATAACTGCAAACATTTAAGAAAATAAAATTTTAATTTAGTTAGTAAGTAAGTAAAGTTTATTTATAAAGCCCATTTAACTTCAGTTTGGCACTGACCAAAGTGCTGAACAAAATCAAAACACACATTCTAAAACAGTGTAAAATAACAATAAAAGTATCAATAAAAATAATAGTGACAACAATGCACAATAATAATTGAAAGCCTGGGAAGGCAATAGAAAAAAAATGTGCAAGTCCGGACTTAAAAATAGTGAGTGAAGAAGCACTCATAATGTCCAGTGGCAGCTGGTTCCACATATGTGGAGCAGCGACTGCAAAGACTCCATCTCTCAGTTTAAGTTGTGACTGAAGAATTTGTAGTACAACTTTATTGGTCGCCCTAAGAGACTGAGGAGTTAAATGTAAATTAAGAAATATTCAGAAATATAAGAAGGTGCTTGCCCGTTCAGTGCTTTAAAAACAGTAAGTAAAATCTTGAAGTTCATTCTTTCCTTTTTGGCTTGGTCCCTTCATTAATCTGGGCTCGCCACAGCGCACTGAACCGCCAACTTATCCAGCATATGTTTTACACAGAGGATGCCCTTCCAGCCGCAACCCATCACTGGAAAACATCCCTACACACTCATTCACACACACACACACACACACACACACACACACACACACACACACACACACACACACACACACACACAACAGTCAGTTTTAGCTTACCCAATTCACCTATACCACATGTCTTTGGACTGTGGGAGAAACCGGACCATGCGGAGGTTACTCCACACAGAAATGCCAACTGACCCAGCCGAGGCTCGAACCAGCGACTTTCTTGCTGTGAGTCGCCCCAAAATCTTGAACTAAATTCTAAAATGAACAGGAAGCCAATGAAGGGAAGCTAAAACTGATGAAATAGGAGTTAAAATTCTAGCTGCTGCATTTTGAACAAACTGTAACCGTGCCAATGAAGATTGAGGGAGACCAATAGTCTAGGCGAGATGTGATAAAAGAATGTATGACTTTTTCCAAGATCTCCTCGGCTGATAGTAACTATTCTTAATGACTGAGCTAATTTGTATGACTGAACTAATTTGAACAGTACACTGCAAAAAAATGCTTTTCTTAGATTTTTGAATAAAAATATATATAATAATCTGCCAATAGGGTCAGCAAAATAGTCTTGTTTTTCCTTTCAACATAAGATTATTTTGCTTACCCCACTGGCAGATTATTTGGCTTGTTTTAGGGAAAAACTTGATTTGCTTGTCTAGAAAATGCGTCTTGATTTAAAACTTTTACGATAATTGGACTAGAAACCAGAAAAAAATCTAAGTAAGAAAAGCTTTTTTTGCAGTGTATAGGATAGCTAATTTTAATAGAATTAGTATATCTCATTCTCACTTGCTATACGTAATGCATGGAACTTTGTTATTATTTCTATTATTATTATTATTTAATAATCTGATGGGATTTCACTCCTAAAAATAGAAATGTCAACTGTAAGAAAACATGGGGTGTGTAATGATATAAAAAAGCTGTTCATACAGCATATGCGACTCTGTACCACAAAACCATCCTTATGTAGCTCATGTATGTTTTAAAAACAGCCAAAAATACATTCCATGGGTCAAAACTATAGATTTTTTTTTAATGCCAAAAAACAATCAGAATATTAAGCCATGATCATTGTCTATGAAGATATTTTCTACTGTAAAAATAATAAATCTCCATCTCTGATTAGTAATATAGATGTAGATTTTTTTTTGGAACTCTCAGATTCCAGATTTTAAAAAGTTGTATTTCAGCCAAAGACTGTCCTATTACAAAACATACATCAACAGAAAGCTTATGTTCACAGCTTTCAAATTAAGTATAAATCTCAATTTCAAAAAATGGACACTACTAACTAATGATACAGGGTCACAAATGTGAATCCTTTCATCAAACAATGCAATTTTTTTTACATTTCTGCACAAACAATTTGAAGCACAGGAATTTTGAACTACAAATAGGAGGAACATAAAATTTTTCACGTTTCATTAAAATATCCTCATTTGTTTTCCGAAGCCTTATAGGTTTGAAGTATGGCTGCACAATATATCGTTTCAGCACTGATATTCGCAATGTGTGCATCTGCAATAGACACATCGCATAGATACGCAATGTTAAGTTGACTTTTCCAGTGTATTTTTAAATTTACATAAATAAAATCCTAATGCATGCAATGTTTATTTCTCTTTTATCTTTGCTTTGTTGCATTACTCTATACTTGTAGTTTGTTTATAACATTTTATGCACGATTTACTCCTCTACATGGATCTGAGAATAGATCTGAGAATCCTTCAAGCAAACTTATGTGTGTGTTGTTTAGCAATTCATTTGTGTTGTGCTTTATTTTCATTTGTTTTAATTCATTTATTCTTCATTTAATTATTTTTTTTCATCATATGATCATAAGTCATTTATACAATTATCACTGTATCATCATATTGATAATTGGTTAATAAATTAATTATTGTTATTGATTATTATTTGTCATTTTATTTTGTTTTTATATTTTCTCATTATTATTTTCCTATAATTACTGCTTTATTGGGGTTTCCTTTTTCCATATTGTTATAACCTTATGTATGTGGATTCAAACGAAACTTGTTTTCATGAGTGATAGATAAGAGAATGTCTCTATCTCAAGATCTTTATTGTCTCTGGACAATGTTTATGAAGCAGTAATTTTCCATTGCTGTTGCTAGTGGTATAATAACACTTGTTGGATTTATCCTGGTCAGACGAAGCCTGAGCATTGAATCAGACGCAACTAAGATTATTCAATAAACTCAGCTCTTTCTTAATCATCATTACTTCGTCTCATGCTTCTGCTCCTCTCTGGTTTTCTCAGTCAACTCCTATATTGATAGGAGACGGTCAATTCAGTTGAATACTGGTTAACAGGTTTGGGAATTGGAAACTCTGTTGACGTGTTGTCCAGATACCTGGAGAAACTGACATTTTCTGACTAGATCTGGCATTCGTGGCTGGATCTTATTTATCTGGCATAGAGATGGTGATCTAACACAATCAATCGAAATAATACATTTTGTAACGTTTTAGGGACCAGTTCTCACTTTATTAGCATGTATGTTACGAGATATTGGCTTCCCATTAGATCTTATAAACTACATATTCTGCATGATCTTAGTCTACATCAAAAAAAGTGTGACCAATAATTAGTTCCAAGTATAACAAAGTACATCGCAATACATGTCAGAATATCAACAAAATACAAAATATCGCAATGTCAGATTTTTCCAATATCGTGCAGCCCTAATTTGAAGTAAATGCTAACAGAATCATTCATTTCATTTTGTAGTGAACAACTGCTTAATCTCCCTAAAGCAAACACAACCTCCACACTTGTTCTGTTTAGACAATAACGGACGTTTCTTATAATTTAGTAGAGCATTAGCAGAGAAACAACCCACATCTGTGCACACTGCGGCTGAAATATAGCTCTGTGTCTGCTTTTCCCCACAGGCAGATCTGGAATTATGGGATCAAAGACTCGCTATCGGAGCTGTCAGAGATCAATGACACGTCTGACATTCCCTCTAGTCCTGCACGGCAAACACACACACAGACGTCTCCATCCATTTACTAGCACCAACCACACTGGAGGAGATCACATCTAATTACTGTAATATAACAACATCAATAACAAAGAATTAATTATAGCCGAGCGCTAATGAGATATTCACTTCTGCGTCAGTGGAACACAAAACAGAACCATTAAAAACCACTTTGTTTCATTAATTAACTGACACAATAGTTGTAAACTGTAATTTCACTTGAGCTGAGAAGGAGCAGAACAACAAATGGCTAAACTATAGGGGTTGTACCTGGATCCAGAGGAGAGCGGATGGGGTGGCTGTGGTTCAGAGGACACGGATGGCTCTTTTGTGTCCTCCAGCAACTTCTCTTCGTTTTTCAAAAAACTCTTGGCTTCACGTGATCTGGCATCCACCTCTTTAGTGACCCTGTGGAACACAAAAAGAGATATAATAGTCAAGATTAGATTATGAAGATATGAGTCAGTCATTTTTGCTTTCAAAGAAATTAATACTTTTATTTAGAACAAAATTTAAAAAGATTAAATATGACTTTACACGTGTTACAGAATATATACTTTTCAAATAAATGCTGTTTTTGTTTGCTGTTCATGTAAGTATTAACAAAAATGTTAAAGCAGTTTTCAACATTTAACAAAATTACATTTTACTATATTTTCCTAATAGAAATATAGCTATGAAAAAAGAGGAGATCTCGTAACAATTCAATTCGTTTTATTTCATTAGGGTCTGATTTATTAAAAATTTTTAATAAAAAAATGTTGACATTTAGAGCATCTTTTTACTAAAAAGAAAAAAACTGTTGTTTAGAGATTGAATATTATTCATTCAATCAAATTTAGATTTTTATATAAAATGTCTAAAAACATGGCACCTATTATTTTTTTTAACAAAAGCAGGTCAATTGTTTTGGAAGAAATGTCATCATTAATTTACAGAATAAAACAAACACAAATATTATTTCAAATTGCAGAGAAACTGATGGTAACTTAATTTCACATTATTATATATTATTAGGTACACCTTACTAGTAACAGGTTGGACCCACTTTTGCCTTCAGAACTGCCTTAATCTTTTGTGGCATAGATTCTACAAGGTCCTGGAAATATTCCTCAGAGACCATATTTACATGATAACATCACGCAGTTGCTGCAGATTTGTTGGCTGCACATCCATGATGCGAATCTCCCGTTCCACCACATCCCAAAGTTGCTCTATCAGATTGAGTTCTGGTGACTGTGAAGGCCATTTGAGTACAGCGAACTCACTGTCATGTTCAAGAAACTAGTCTGAGATAATTCACGCTTTATGACATGCCGCGTTATCCTGCTGGAAGTAGCCATCAGAAGATGGATACACTGTGGTCATAAAACAATGGTCATGGTCAGCAACAATACTCAGGTAGGCTGTGGTGTTGATCAATGCTCAATTAGTACTAATGGGCCAAGAAAGTATCTCCCACACCATTTAACTACCACCACCAGTCTGAACCATTGATACAAGGCAGTATGGATCCGTGCTTTCATGTTTTCAACGCCGAATTCCCTACCATCCGAATGTTGCAGCAGAAATCGAGACTCATCGGACCAGGCAACATTTTTCCAAGCTTTTATTGTCTAATTTGGTGAACCTGTGTGAATTCTAGCCTCAGTTTCCTGTTCTTAGTTGACAGGAGTGGCACCCGATCTGGTCTTCTGCTGCTGTAGCCCATTCGCCTCAAGGTTGGACGTGCAGTGTGTTCAGAGAGGCTCTTCTGCATACCTCAGTTGTAACAAGTGGTTATTTGCGTTACTGTTGCCTTTCTATCAGCTTGAACCTGGCCATTCTCCTCTGAGCACTGGCATCAACAAGGCATTTGCATTTACAGAACTGCCGCTCACTGAATATTTTCTCTTTTTTGGACAATTCTGTGTAATCCCTAGAGTTGGTTGTGTGTGAAAATCCCAGTAGATCAGCAGTTTCTGAAATACTTGAACAGCCCATCTGGCACCAACAACCATGCCATGTTCACAGTCACTTAAATCACCTTTCTTCCCAAATCTGATGCATGGTTTGAAATGCAGCAGATCGTCTTGACCATGTCTACATGCCTAAATGTGTTGAGCTGCTGCCATGTGATTGGCTGATAAGAAATTAGTGTAAACGAGCAGTTTGACAGCTAAACATTGCATCATAGTCACAAAACATAAAATCAAAACTAGTGAGGGTATATGACTAAACCTCAGAGGGGTCACTGGATTGCTTTTGAGATATTTTTGAGAGATTTGTCGAATACATCAAGAAATTGACCGCAAGTAGCCAAAAATTTTCTTATTGAGCTAGTCCCTAAAAATCTGAGTCTCTCCATCTGAATAATAGATATTATGTCTGAAATCCAGTTCTGAAATGAAGGGGGTAAAAGTGATTTTAAAATGTTATGCACTAGTCTTTTAACCAGGACCATGCCTTGCATAAAAGTCTCTTGCGTTGTTTGAGGGAGAGAAGATGTTTTTTTTTTTTTTTTTGTGAAAAGCTAAAGATGGCAAGCATTCAGCATTTGGTAGAAAAGGTCTGCTATAAGCCTTGGAGTACCAGTCAAATATGTTTGTCCAGAATCTTTTCAGTGAGGGACAGAGCCAAAAGGCATGAGCAACCGTGTCTGCTACCTTGCATCTATCACACATTGGTGAGACAGACGGAAAGTTTTTATGTAGCTTGGCTTTCGTGTAGTGTAGCATTGTCTGACCTTGAATTGAATCAATTGGTGTCTGCTGATTTAATTTTTTAAATATGATACTTTTGTTTGGATATTTCACTATTTTTGCAATTCATGCAATTCATACCTATTTTAAGAATCAAAAGGCCCCTAAATATTTTTGTGCCACTGTATTCTTTAAATAGAATAGAAGTCTTAATATAAATCCCATCTTGGGTTCATAAAAAGAGTTCAAAGCTTGTCGTTGCTCTGTGCTTGGCAGGATTTGAATATTTTACTTGCTAAGCTTTGACTGTGTGACTGCCTCATAGACACAATGCCCTGGAATAAATTAGTGAATATCAGCAATAATTTGCTAAACAAGATAAGATGTGAAGACAGCATCATGATAGACTATTAAAAGACAGTGTTCACTGAAAAGACCCAAATATTTCTGTGTCTATGACTTCATTAACAGCATCCAAACATAAACATTATGCATGCAGTGCCTTCTCTGTACAAAACAGTATTTCTTAAAGTTGCACTAACACAATTTTGCCAAATGATACTGATATTTGAAAGAACCAAAACCAAAAAGTCCAAAATCCAACAGGTTTTCCCATTTAAAAAAATCTGCTAACAAGTAAATGTGTAGAATTAGCACAATAAACATAGCAAAGCTGTTAAAAGTGGGTAACAGAGAAGAAAGAATGTATTAAAATAAGATGGTCAATAAAAACATGATTGTCTGCAAGTGTGTTTTGGGACTTGGTCTGACACTGTGGTCTTTAAAATACTGCTTAGCGCATGTTGATGTGATTTACTCATTTTGTGGCTTTGTAGAGGAAACAATTCCCTATTTTTTGTGGTGAAACAAATTTGGGGTTGAGTTAAACTCTTATGCTTTTAAATTTACAAATGTGACCCATTCTTTTGTTCTCAAAGATATTCCCAAGCTTTTATCTTTTGAATACATTTTCAATCTTCTTGTATAGACCATTCCAATGTGGTCATGTCATTAGCCCATGAACATTTCCTGCTTGTTATCGAACTATTCCAAAACTGTAAAAAGAGGCAATTCAATCATGACTTAATGTTAAAACAGCTTTCATAACATTAATTAATAAATATGCGTCTCTTTTTGGATTATCAGAAGCTATAGAAATTTAAAATGTAAAACCAAAAATAAGTTGGGACTGTTGTTTACATTCCTCAAAATGGTCTATAGAATGCTAAATTCTTTATTAATAATCAAAAAGAACTTAAATCTCCTTTATACATTCCCCTTTCATACTGAACTTAACTCTCTTACTCTTTTAGAGGAATAAATAAAAATTAAAGTGCTACATTTCTGATGCATTATGACAACCTTTTTGAGTTGAAGTCTTTTTTTATGCTATTGATGATATCATAGCTTGATTTAGGCACAATAACAATGTTTTTTCCTGTATTATATTTCACATGCAAGTGATGAGACTTTGTCTCATCTCCTTGTTGCTGTTTGAGTTTGGCAATAAGCAATAAAAAATATTACTGCCGCTTTCACCTCAAAAGCAATCGTTTGCACAGCTTTTTCATGATTAGATGCTGCCATCTAGTGGCCACACAAACGACTTGTACTTACCGAACCTCTTCTCCAGCAAAATCGAACACCTTAGTAATTGTGATTTTGGAGGAATCTTTGGGTTTGTCCTCCTTCTGGGAAGACGCTGTAGAGAGTTTACTGGGTTCATCTGTAGCAGCTGCGGATGTGAACTATATGAGATGGAAAAAAAAATGCTTATTAGTTTAAAATTAAAAAAGCAAAATCACAGAAAATGCTATTTAAATATAACAGTGCTCACCATAAATGTGTATACCGCTCACAGATCTCTCTTTTTTAAATAATAATATATAATCTGTCTAGTCCAAAAGAAGTACACGCAAATTAAAATGTAAAAAATTGGAAAGAATTATTCAATTAAATTTTTTTTTTAAAAATAACATATAATAACAACTAAATAACAAAAATGTAACATTTAGTTGAAATGTTGTAATTTGTCATTTTTTTCTCCAATAAAGTGTTTAATAATGATAATAATGAACTATAATTTAAATTTATTTACTTTCTATTCTAAAAGATGATAAGTAACTCTTATTTTACTGGACATAATGATTTGTTAAAACTGTTTTGTTTAAAAACACCAAATATATTGGCTACATTTATTGAGATTATAAAATATGAGTGTGTGTGGACGAATGTGTGGATGGAAAAATATTAATTTTCAAAAGGGGGTTTACTCATTTATTCTGAGCACTGCATACACTCACACTGAAACCAATAAAAAATAGACATAAAAAGACAAGGGAAAATAAGAAATCTGATGTTAAAAGTAATTTAAAAAGTATTCATAAATGAGAGCATTTTGATTTTCTATTTACAGTGGTCCCATAATTTTATTTCAAATAACATGCGAAATTGCGAATGTGCATGTTCAGTGTGTGTTACTTCCAACTGTCATGTGCCCAGCGCACCTGCTGTGCGAGACCCTTAAGGATAGAGTCTGCTTTAGTTGTGTGGATTAGTGACTGCAGGAAAAAGAACATTACGCTGGATGCCAACATTATCCTCACAAAAGCTAAAAAGCTTTATGAACCTTTTGCTGACAGCAATGAATGTTTGCATCTGACAACAGGTTTTGATCTTTGGTATCATTCTATAATATAGACTCATTTTTCTATGATGGTTTGAACTTTAAGAGTATTTAAAGAAGAGAAGTGTTAAAATGCTTATGCCTCTCTGAGAAAAGTATCTATTTTAACAGCATTAAAACATCTAGAATAGTAAAAAAAAGCTGACTACTTCACAGATTTTGTGGGATTTCACTGGTTATTTTTTACAACGTAACTCCCAAGAATTAAGAAGAACCACTCTTTTAAAATCTAAACAGGGTTTCTGCAGGTTTCACAAAGTTGAATTTAAGACTAAGACATTTTTAAGACCATTATGAATGAAATCTTCAACCCATAATGAATTTTCAAATGGCTGAGATGGAAAAGATTTTCATTTGCCCTATCAAAAAAATTATTATAATTTAATACTTTCAATATTACAATAATACATTAATAATAAACAATAAAAATATTTTAGATTTTATTTCTGAGCTAAATATTTTAAATATTATGTAAAAACAAGCAAGCTCTACTTGTGTACATACATTTTTTTTCCACAGTAAACTTTCTTTTAAATAATTAAGAAAAAATTATTAACAAATGTTCATTCGTTTATTCATTTTCTTGTCGGCTTAGTCCCTTTATATCGTCACAGCGGAATGAACCACCAACTTATCCAGCATGTTTTTACATAGCGGATGCCCTTTCAGCCGCAGCCAATCTCTGGGAAACATCCACACACACACACTCATACACTACGGACAATTTAGCCAACCCAATTCACCTGAACCGCATGTCTTTGGACTGGGGGGGAAACCGGAGCACCCAGAGGAAACACACGCGAACGCAGGGAGAACATGCAAACTCCACACAGAAACGCCAACTGAGCTGAGGCTTGAACCAGCGACCTTCTTGCTGTGAGGCGACAGCACTACCTACTGCGCCACTGCGTCACCTGAACAACTGTTTTAAAAAATTTTAAAACTATAATAAACTAAATCTATGAACAACAATCTGTCCAGGTCAATGTCCTTCAGCAGTAAATACATCAACAGAGAAGGACCACAAGAATGCAGAACAAATGGTAGGGCTTTAACTAAAAAAAAAAAAGTTTAACAATAACAATCTGCATTAGCAAAATAAACATAGTAAATTTTGATTTCACACAGACTTTAAACAAAACCTCTTTTATTTGTGTTTGTATTCTTGAGCTGATACTTTACCTTCTGAGAGCTTGCACTTGGAACTTCTGCTTTGGGTCTAGGGATATCACTCAGAAAACTAGCCCAAAGATCATCTGCTTTCTTCTTCTGCCGCTCTTCAATGTCTCCTACTGACTTGGTTACAAAATCGTCTTCCTTTGGCTCATCTTCGTCCTTCTGCTGATCTGCTGTACTTGCCTCGCCATCCTCCACCAGTTTGAGGCCTCCTTTTTTCCTTTTTCTTTGGAAACAAGGAGAAAGTGACAACTACAAATTAAAACAGTTGTCATTTAATCACGGTTCACTTGCTCCAATTGCTGAGCTTCTTCTTTTGAACAAAAAAAAAAAAAGACGTTTTGTAGAATGCTGGAACCGTCAGCCGCTGACTTCCATAATATTTTTTCCTACACTGTATGTCAATGGCTAGCGGTTTTCAGCATTATTAAATTTTTTTGTGTGTTTAACAACAAAAAAAAGCCCCTTAAGATGTTTGGAACCACTTGAGTTAAGTAAATTGTAAGTACATTTACATTTTTAAGGTGAACTATTCCTACAAGTGGGTTTAAAGTAAATGTCAGTAAAATCATCTATACCTCATATTACACCTGCACAAATTAATAAATTTAAAACCGATATCTCGATTTGAAAAGGTGTAATTTCACATCGCAAAAGCTACGATTATTTCAATTATTACTATGGCGAGAGAGACATAGAACATAGAACTACATCGTATAATTATTATTTACCTATAGGCCTATTATTTAAGATTTTATTATTAATTTATAAAACTTCATTATATTTATAATACTTTGATGCATCACTTGCTTTTGTTCATATCACGGACAGTTTACCTAATAAAGTTTATTAAAATATTAATAACAAGAGAACATGGGCTGCTCTCCAAAAGCAAAAAAGATAAAATTTACATTAGTTTATTTGCTATAAATGCTCATGAAATTGATATGAAGAAAAATGTAACACAATCTAAATGTTAAGGATTTAAATTAGATTATAAATATAATTTATTTAATTTAATTAAAAATAATGTAGTTATTATCTTAATTTGTCATGAATGGTTTTAAATATACAGTAGCATAGTGTAGCGTACTTTGTGAATATGCTTGGTTGGTGCCGATAAAACCACCACATCAAACCTGCAGCTCCTTTATAAAATTACAGTAAATTGCAAATCACAATTTTGATTAGATAAATCGCAAATAGATTTTCTTTCTCCAAATCGGGCAGCCCTACCTCATATGGACATCTGCTTTACTTTTCTTCTTTTTCTTTGTTAAATTTTCCGGCGTCTGCCGGTCGTGATCCTCCCCTTCCAGCGCATCCTCCTTTACACAATCATTAATGTCATCCTCACTCAAGTTATCATCTGATCAAAGAAAAAAATGAAATAAATGTAAATAAAATCACGACAATGAGACAAAACAAACATGCAAACATAGTATTTACTGCAGCATAGACATTTGAAAGGACAATGTATAATATATGTAATATAATATTTAAAAATAATATGAAAAATGCCAAACGTCCCTTTCAATAACTCAAGATTAAAGTATATTTACAACTCTTGGGAGCAGTACAATATGAAGTAGCAGATTTCCAACTCCATTGACCTTCATTTCTCTATATACTGTTAGTTAAAATCTTTCTAATATTTTCCATAGTTAAAAATGAGTATTTTTTCCTTCTTAGTACCAGTTTGTAATTATTATGAAGATTAAGACAGTTGCCCAACAGCATGTATGATTGTTTACATCTTTGTCATCACTCTTACTGCCAGGTGAACATCTTTCAAAAACTAACGTATTAATAGTTACTTAAATATGAAAACATTATAATGCAGGGGTCTTCAAAGAGGGATATGAATATCTCACACACAATGTATGTAAACAGATGTATGATTTTCTAGATAATTATTTATAAATGAAAGCAAAGTATGAGCATTATCAATGTATTCGTTTTATTTATTTGTGCCTGCATATTAAATAAAAACGATGTAAACAGGGGGACAGTATAGGTATACATATACAAAGAACAGTCGAGTTAGCTTAGCTACATCACTACTCTTTCATATATATATATACAACCATGCTAATTTCATGCTAAACATCTTATCGTTACCTGAAGGGACATAGTCTTCATCTTCGTTTGATGAATAACCATCCGAGTCGTAATCTGAATAATTCATTCTTGTGTCGTACGTGCAGTGCGCTGTAGAATTAGCTGCTAAATCAGAGAAAAACTCCAAAAAATACTTGCAAGAAACACTGGGGCTAACCAGCTAGCTTTGAACAAACGTGTGGTTGCTTTACTAAAAGCCCAGCATGTTAGCTTGCTAGCTTCATCCGATCGCTAAAAGAGCGACTCAACGGCTCATCGTCAGCCTCCAGGCTCGTCGTTTCTTTCATCTTCAAGTCCTTGAGCTAAAATTAAAGACACAATATTTAGAAAATGTTTTTTAACAACAACAATATCAACAAATATTCAACCAAACGGTAGTAAAGCATTGTATATTGTGTAATTAATCTAAAGATAACGAACCACAATATATATTATAGGTTGTTTTGATTGTATTCTGTTGTATTAAACTTTTTAATGTTTATAATATTTCTAATTATGTAATTAAAGGTAAATATATTCTTAAGGTTAGCAATAATAACAGCACAGAGTATACAAAAAATAATAATTAAAAATCTATAAATACACCAATATATTCTGTTACAAATTATTTATATCTTAAAAAAACGTTCAAATCATGTTCTAAAACGGACAAAAATACAACAACAACAATAATAATAATAATAGGGATTATTATGACCATTGTTATATTAGTAAAGAATTAATATAATATATAGTTATTAAAATATAATATATAATTATTAAAATAAAATTATCAATAATAAGGATTGTTATGACCATTGTTATATTATTCATTCATTTTCTATTCGGCTAAGTCACTTTATTAATTCAGGGTCACCACAGTGGAATGAACCGCCAACTTATCTAGTACGTTTTTATGCAGCGGATGCCCTTCCAGCCGCAAACCATTTCTGGGAAACATCCACACACACACACTCATTCACACACATACACTAGGGACAATTTAGCCTACCCAATTCACCTGTACCAAATGTCTTTAGACTGTTGGGGAAACTGGAGCACCTGGAAGAAACCGACGCGAACGGAGGGAGAACATGCAAACTCCACACAGAAACGGCAACTGACCCAGCCGAGGATCGAACCAGCGACCTTATTGCTGTGAAGCGACAGCACTACCTACTATGTCACCGCGTCACCCATTGTTATATTAGGAAAGTTTTAATATAATATATAATTTTTAAAATATATAATATGTAATTATTGAAATAAAATAATAATAATAACAATAGGGATTATTATGGCTATTGTTATACTAGTAAATTATTAATATAAAATATAATTATTAAAATGAAATAATAATAATAATAATAATAATAATAGGGGTTATTATGGCCATCGTTATATTAGTAAAGTATTAATGTAATATATAATTATTAATATAAAATATAATAATAGAGTATTAATATAATAGATAATTATTAAAATATAATAATAATAATAATAATAATAATAATTTACAAATAACAAAAGAGTAAATAAAATAAAAAAAAAATAAAACATCAAAAAAATCCTTGAGGAACACAGAAACAAATCCATCCATATGATTTTTAAGTCCAGTATTACGGCAACCGTTCAGGGACATACCACACAAACCCTTCAAGTCCCGCCCACAAGCCCGTAGCAAATCGCAGGTGACAGCGAGATAATCTCAAACCAACAACAGTAGTGGTGGATAAAACCATCATTCATATCGATTTTTGATCGGTGTTGCAGATCGTCTGTAGATTAATAGTGCTTTTAGCTAAATGACAGCAAATCCGCACAGTCATCGGCTTTTGCGGTTTGAAACGAGCTTCTTGCAGATGGACGAGCATCTGTGCTAAAAACAAACGCTCCGCTAAAGCCCACCTTCCCTTTCTAATGCTGTTATTCGGCTTTGATACTTCTGTTACGGATGATCGAAGCGTTGATCGTTGGAGAAATGCAGGACGTGCAGATTGGATTCGTCAAGCAGATCCTCAGTTTGAATTTGGTGCCCAGGTCTAATAACACCACCTGCGGGAACAACACCTCTCTGTGCGACTTCTCGGGTGAGTTTTAACGCCACCGCCGACAGCACACATCAGCATCGACCGGCTCATATTTATGCTGCTGAAACTCTTTTGCTGTTGTGTATGTTCTCCATTACACCGAAGCCGACATTCAGCTTTCAGACTGGAGATCTGTTAGCATCTAATGCTAATGTGTTAGCTTGACCGCCTAGTTATACGTTTATTTGGATTCTTGTGTTTGTTGTAATGGTGGTGACATTGGTGGGATCTGTCTGTAGTTTTGTTGGTGTGTCTTGTTCAAATCGTCGTTCTGTATGTGTTGTTCTGTCGGCTTTATATGTGGGACATTCTAACTTACCAGAAACGTAGATTATGTGTCCCTGAAACCCTTGTTGTGCTGTAAATTTAAAATGTATTTTAAAAAAGAACTTCAGAAATAGCAAGTTTAAGTTTTCATCATTCCCATCAGTTGATTAAAAACATGAAATTATAATTAAATTCTACAAATAAATACCTTTTTACGATTGTCCCCATGTTTCTATCAGTCCTGTCACATTTGCATTACATTTAACATAAAATGCGTGCAATACACCTTTAAGGCTGTGACTGAATTGACATCATTTGATGGAGGTGAAGCTGACAATGATCAACAATACATTCTATCATTGAATTGTATGATTTTATGTTTTTGGATGATTTTTTTGAGGATGACAAGCTTAAAGGTCGGGCCCTGTCACATTTCTTATAAGAGAAAATATCCGTTTCTGTTAGAATATCCCATCTATCTCTGTCTTTCTATCTATCAATTGATTCATCATTCATATAATTAAGGTTAAAGTTGGTTTTATGTTAGCACGTTTGTTTATTTTAACAGTCCTTATATTGTTGCACACTAATTTAAATATTTGGTCTGAAATCCTGTTTATGACTTCAAAACAACATTAGCACTGTTCACTTGGCTGTAAACAAAGTTGTACTTCTATAGTCATTGACTGCTGATATATTATCCCTATTTAGAATGTGCAAATAATACTTTGCTGAAATTATGTTCTCAAGGAGAATGTCCTTATGGGCGAATATAAAACTAACTTTACTCCAGTGTTTATTTATCTGTCTGTCTGTCTATATTATATCTATTTCTATCCATTGATTGATCAGTTGTTTATCTATCTATCTACAGGATCAGGGTGTTTATGGGGTCTAAAGTTGGTAAATCGGTTTAGAGAAAATCAAGGCCCTTAAAAAGTATTAATAAATCTTTAATGTTATGTTCCAAAGTTAAATTTTATTTCATCTTTTCATTATACATGTTTATGTATAAGCTAAAAGGTTGCATAAATTAAATTACTGTGTAGGCTAATGACATTCTGTATAGTTTATAGAAAAAAGTTATGAAAGTTTATTCATATTTGTTTTGTCTATTTGTGTAAGTATTCTTTTCTATTTCTCTTCCTAATAAAGCTTACAGAGGGGTAGTAACTCAAATAATTATTTTGTGCATTGTTTCCAATTATTTAGAATTATGTTGTGTCGATAAGGAGTTGTCACAAGCTACGATTGTTAGTTGTGCTTTCTAACAATCAATATCGAGTAAATATACTTTCAAAGGCACCTATGATGAAAATATACCAACTATGTGTAGTTATGTTATGTCCACAAATAGGATCCAAATCGCTCCCATTTTAAGGCCCACCGTAACATGACGTAAGAGTGCGGTTTCCCCACCCACCAAACTGATTGACAGCTGCGTATTAACGTCTTGTAGTAACGCCTAAAATCATATCAACGAGACATGCACAACTGGGATTAAAGATCTGTTGAGCTCTCTGTGATCATCAATCATCATCTAATGTATTTTACAAGTTCATTACAGTGATTTACTTCAGCTTTACTTTATCACCACAGCCGCATGTCAGTACAATTATAAAATAAGTCTAAGAAGACGTTTCAGTCCAGGTTTATGGACGTTTAAATCAGATTTATTTTGCACATTAACATAACGAATATTCATACAGCAGTGTATTAACGTGTATTCTGTCACATTTGTGTGCAAAGTTAAACGTGTGTGCTGTGTGTGTGTCTGCTGTGTGTGTGAACAAGAACTTTGAAACTAAATTTTGTGTGACTCGTCGTTGTCATTAACAGTGTTTACATGGACATCGGTAATCAAATTATTTACATTAGATAATTACATTACATCAAATAATCATTGGGATAGTTCTTACAGTAGTATTTTTCACAATTGTTATGTGAGACCTGCTTCCTTCATGTCTGTCACCGTGCTGTTTATCTGATGCAGCCGAGACAGAGATTGAGGGACACTTTGACAGGCATGTGGGAACAGTGGACGGGGAGAACTAGCATTAAAGGCACAGACAACAAAAACAGCTATAAGATTCTCAGAGCTGAAAATTACAAACTTCTGAAAGCTATAATAAATAATCTGATGGGTGTTTTAAGCTAAAACGTTACAGACACATTCTGAAGACACAAAAGACTTCTCTTAAATCTTAAAAAGGGGTAAAAATAAATGGCCTTTTAGTTATAATGTCACCAATGTTACTGGTTAAAACCAAAAGTTGTTATTAGGTCTTAAAATGTATGGAAAGAGCCTTAGAAAGGCTCAAATGCATCTGTCTGTCTGTCTGTCTAGTTCTGTCAGTGTAGTTTTTCTGTAGTTCTTTGTCAACTGATTGATCAGTCAGTATTATGTCTGTAATTTTGTAGTACTATCTGTCCATATGTTTGTCTGTAATTCTATAAATGTCTGTCTGTCTGTCTGCCATTCTATCTGTATTTTGTCTTTCTACCAGATGATTAATCAGTTAATTTTTATCATCGATAGTTTAATTTGTCTTTGTCTATTGATTTTTCCATTAGTCTTTCTGTCTATAGTTTTGTCTGTCTATTGATTGATCAGACAATCTTTGTCTGTAGTTATCTAGTATCTATCCATCCATCTTTCTAGCCATCTGTCCACCAACTTAGTCATCCATCTGCACACCTGCACAAATGTGTTTGTGTCTCAGCTGTGGGAAAGTTTGACAGACTGTTGGCTGATCTTCAGGTCTGAATGTGTTTCATTGACAGAGATGTGGTATGGCGTGTTCCTGTGGGCCGTCGTCTCCTCATTGATTTTCCACCTGCCTGCTGCCCTCCTGGCTTTGGCAACCCTCCGCAGGCATAAGGTGGCACGATTTTTTCCACTCGGTATCCTGCTCATGGGCATCATCGGCCCGCTGTTCGGAGGCGTTCTTACTAGTACGTGGCTTTACATCTTAAATGTGACATGATGATATATAAATAAATAATGTTGATGTTTTTATATATATATATATATATATATATATATATATATATATATATATATATATATATATATATATATATATATATATATATATATATATTTTTTTTTTTATTTATTTTTTTTTTTTTCCCTGATGTTTAACTATTCTACTTTAAAGATGGAGGTGCAACATGATTCAAGTTATTTTCTCTTCATTAAAACCCTGCTAAACCATCTATTCCAAATGCACCACACAAAAAGTTGTCACAACACATACTTTAGATTTTCCTGGCAAACATAAAAATCAGTCTGTAGGCTTTCATAGATAAGGTAGGAACTGAGGAATGTCTCATTTTTAAAGTTTTATTATAAGCTGTTCACATATTGGCAGAATATTTTTTTTTTTTGGTTACTATTTCTGTGTATCTGAAATCACAAAAGAAAATTTAATATAATAAAACGTAACTGAATTATTAAGGCCAGCATTAAATATTAATAATAGCAAAATATAACTAAGTATAATAATCATTCATTCATGATCTAGGAATAAATTATTAAAACTCTGCTCTCTAGTGTTTTTTATTCTACAACACATTGTTTTTAGTTTTAAATTGTACTTTGTATTTACCAATCTCATGCTTAATACAAGGACAGAAATATTTTTTGTGAAATACTGTAGCTCTTATTATATTAGAAAATAATGACATATAATACTAATTAAATTAGAGAAAAAAGTATTAAGGCTTTCACAAACATAGAAATTAAGAAATGTCTCATTTAAAAAAATAATAATAAACGTAAAATTATTTAAAACATTAGGGCTGCACGATATAGTTTTTTGCAATATATCTTGCAAAATAAACACAATTTCACAAGACGACTTAAATATCTCTATTTGTAAAGAATTTAAAATTTGTGATTGATTGTGATGATTCTGTAGTTGAGTGCATCTGCATAGAATATAATAAATAAACTTTTTTAAAAAAGATACAAAATAAATGAATAGCATTTACTTGTTTTCTGAGGAGTCTAATAGTATTCAGGCTTTCTGCTTTTAAAATTCTCATTCAGTCACAATCATCAAAAACCACATAAAAGTATCAAACTTTCACTCTTTTATGCTTAAACTCGACTTCACACAAATCTTATGTGTTTTGTTCTGTTTGTTCATATTCATTCAAATGAAAGTAAATTTATTACAAGTTGATTAAAAAAAACACCTGGGGCCTCATGTACGAAGACTTGCATGGAAATCATACTAAGACATTGCGTACGCACATAGCTGTAAATGTGCGTACGCAGAAAAAAATTCAGATGTATGAAACGATGCGTACGCTGAATCCCACGCATATTCTTTTGTACATCAGAATGAACGTGAAACTGAGCGCAACATGCACGAGCGCAAAACCCCTCCCTGCCTCCTCCCCCGTATGAATATGCTATCGACTCTACTTTGGCAAAACCCAACGAAAAAGCAATGGCAAAAGCAATCAAAAAGAGAAACTTTGAACAGAATGTGAATTGAAGGTGAGCTTTCGGAGGTAGAGCGGAGAAAAACTGTGTTATTTGCAAGTTTGTCCTCCGGAATTAACAACAAAATAAAAAATAGAGTGGGAGAGTTTAGCTGATGCGGTTAACACAGTTAAGTCTGAACATCGCACTGTGGATTTAAAAAAGAAATAGTGGGATTTATATGTGTAAAATGTTGTAGCATCCTTGACAGTCTCAGTGGCGCAGCTCGTAAAACGAATGGCAACATGTTTTGACACGTTCAAGCATGAACTCGGTTCGAATCCAGCGGCTGATGAACTCAGCAACTTCTTTTTTTCCCCCGCTACATATCAGATTTTGCCTACTATTTATCACGAGAAAGACAAGTAGGAATCATTAATAAGTCTGTGCATCATATTTTACATGCACATTTATTGAATGGAAGTGTTTTTGATTCACGCATGCAAATTCATCTTCAGTGTCTTTATAGCAATGTGCGTTCAGTAGATCGGTCCCATTACATTGGGAAAACAGGCGACCGCTGCAAATTGCGCTTTAATGTTTGGCTGGTCAGCTGTATGGTATGGAAACCTTATATACCTGCTAGATGAACCCGTCTCATACAGCTGCCATTGCAAGGCTCAAAGACACTTTGTAGAGAGCAATTTGACACAACTGCCTCTAGGAGTCACCAATGGAAATAAAACAGACACGCACAAAAAATGTGCGTACGCCAGCCATAAAGCTGGCATGGAGCTGCGCACATTCCCACGTTCAGTTCATCGTTAGTAAATCCAAACGTGAGCGATTTTGAGCGTGAAACCTGGCGTACGCAAAGTTTTTGTGCGTACTCAGCGTTGATACATGAAGCCCCTATTGTTTTGTAATTTTAATTTTTAATAGAAAATCTATTTTCCATCCATATATTAGCAAAACATTCATATGTTTCATCATTAAGGATTTCTTTAAAATAGTGTAAAAATCTTGTCTCGTTCTTGTGTACCCAATCTCGTGTCTTGTCTCGTGGAGTAGGCGTTTTGCAAATTGTAGAATTTGCGAAAAAATGGTCAATTAGTTTAAAAATATAATTAAAAATACATAATAATTGAAACAAAACAACAGATTCAAATTAATCAATTCAATGATTAAATAGTCTAAAGAGTCTCATTTTCAGCATCAATATGGCAATGTGTCTGTCTGCAATAGTCACATTACAATATATGCAATTTTAAATGGGGATTGTTGACCTTATTCTGCGCTGACGAGCGGGCGCTGCCATATGAATCTTTTTGGCTCGAGACTTCCAGTCTCATTCACTTCCATTCATTTTTAGACATTAAAAACTGCTCATTACGCTGCTTGATGTTGCAATTTGATATTTTCTTATTATATTATTCTACTTGGTCTGTATAGTCATGCAAACATTTGTTTGTAGAGCAAGTAGTTTGACCGTTTTCTGCCGTTTATTATTCCTTGGCATTTCTCCCATAGTCGACTGAATCGGAAGTTCTAAGACAATCGCGAAAACAGGCGCACTTCCGCATTTTAGAATAAGGTCAATAGTCAATCTATAATTGAGAATACATGAGATTCGTAGAGTCACTGAAATGTACAACTATAACAGAGTGAAACTTTATTATTTGCATGTGTTGTAAAGTCATTTCTTGAGAGTGTAAAGCATTCAGGCACAATAACGTAAAACATTGGTAACTTTAATGAAGAATAATGTTACTGATTTATTAATACAATGATGATGGTGTTATTTTACATTACTACATTTCTGTATCTGACTACTATTAAAAAGTAAAAAACCATAAAAAACTGTTTATTTGATTTTTTTTCTTTGCTCCATTGTAATTATTCTTGCAATTTGATTTTTATACATGATTCACAGCCTTACAAAATCAACCCAATCAATCTAAATGAATGACTTTTTTTACAAATACAGCTATTCAAGTCATCTATAACAATATATATTGCAGCAAAACAAAATATTGCAATGTCAGATTCAGCCCTATTTTAAACAAATGCTAAATGTTTTGTATATCTCGCAGGTGCAGCCATAGCAGGAGTCTATAAGGCGGCAGGGAAGAGCATGTTCTCCTTGGAGGCCTTGGTGTTTGGCGTGGGACAGTCTCTGTTTATTTTCATCATATCTTTCCTCAGAATTCTGGCTACCCTGTAGCACTGAGAGAGAGACACTGGCACATCAGGCTGCCGTTTCTTCACCTGGGCATCATATGCAAAACATGGAGGCCTTACTTCCTCGACAACTCCTTTTCCTTTGATACAGAACAGTATTTTTCTTTCCAAACGGGTTCCGGATGGAAGACTTTTCATTTGAAAAATGAATCAGTATGAGCAACCTTTAAAGCAACGCTAGCCTTGCGTGACAGGTGGAGTCATCTTGCACATGTGTATATTTTTGGTTGTTGTTGTATTCATCATTATAGTTTCTTTTCGTTTTCCTTTCGAAATCTTTTATAAACTTTAAAATGAGGTAAAAAAAAAATGTACATACTAAAAAGCCCATTCAAGCTTGCCCTTAATTAATGCTTGACAATAACATCTTGCATTCACTTTGCACTGATTATATAAATCCTTTAGGCCAAAGGCTCAAATAGATTTTTTTTGCCCCTGATTGTGGGCATATTTGAAGAGATTACAATTGAACACTTGTTGTTGGACTTTGACATTGTAATCATTTCACAGCATACACTTTCTTACTGGAGTTAAGTGGCTTTTGTTGGTTAAATAGCGTATTTGTGACCTTTTTTTTTTTTTTTTTTTTTTTTTGCATTCAGCGTCATTAAGGATTTGTTTTTCATGTGGGCTCCAGGATTTGGCCTTCATATTTTTATTTCTGTATAAATTAGAGTGATCTATGTTGCTTTGACAAATACTTGCCCATACGATTCTATATGTGGCAGCCTCACCTTTATGCCTAATATGTGAATGTAAAGCAGATTTCAGCTGAATCCATATTAGAATCACTTAAATCTTCACCAAAGAAATGGTAACACTAGTCTACAGCTGTTATGCGTTTCATACTGTTATTTTTAATATTCCTGTAGAGAAAGCTCATGTTAAAAAACTACAGAATGTACAAAACTACACCCAAACCTATGTATAGAAGAATATAACATTGGATACTCACACGTGTAGATGTCCTCCCTTCATGTTCAGCATCAGCACTTACAGTGTATATGGCTGAAAGGGATCAGAATATCATTTTTAATACACAGTAGCAGAGATTTTAGACTTATTTGGGGAAATAAACCAACCGTCTCAGATATCAGTCAGTTTAAGCATTTGTAGATTTGTGTTCTCCCATATTGCAAGCCCTCAGGAAGTTTTCGTGGTCTGGAAGTGTCATTTAAAGCTCGTTTGGTGTGAGTTCATGTAAATCAGACTGATCTTTTATGAGTGGAGCGCTAATGTTAATGGGACGCACTGAAAGCTATGCTTTATTTGCCTGAGCCTATGGTCTCTCAATTGCACAAATGGATTTATTTTTCTAAAGTCCAATCATTGGTGGTGGAGTGACTGCTCTTTGGTTCTTTTGTGGTTTGTCTTTGATTGTACTGTCTTTGATTCTTGAGAATTGGATTTACTCTTTGCGATATGATACTTTCCATTTATTTATTTTTTTCTGGGCAAGTTTAATTTTCTTACTGTATAATAAGTGCCAATTGCTAGTATTTTCATGAAATAAAATGGTTTAACTTTAGATTATTATAACACTACCTTGTGTTTGCTTTTGTGATTTCTTCTGTTTAAGGTTTGTTTTTAACTAAGACAAGTGCATTAAAGATGCAGTATGTAAGTTTGACACCCAGTGGTTGAACTAGGTATTGCATTCCTGGATCAAAGCAAACGCAAGCGCAGGTTGTCAGATTGAGAACCAACAGGAGTGTACCATCGAGCCTAAACGATGATTTAAGGCTAATTTAAGACGTGTTGTAAATAAAAGCAATATCACACAATCGAAGGAATATTTTCCAAACTAAAAGGAGTTTTTGTCCAAACCAACACCTGGAACGATTTCTATTTTATTTTTATATTTTGCAGCTGAACAATAGAAAATGTTATTACAATGTTCACCTCAGTTACACCTCATGTGCTTTATTCAGTGCTAAATGCTAACAATGTGAGTTTGAATGCCATTTTACATGACATTTATGCCATACTATTGAAAGCAGCAGCAGAGAGTTCACCTGTGAAATAATGCAAACCTTATCAGTGATTTAGCATCTACATTTAATGGTGTTCAAGAGGTTTAATATCCCACAAAGCAAAATTTCTCTGGCCCACACAATTAGGTTTTGCTTGGCCCACATGCTGCAGTGAATTGCGGTACATGACTGGACTAGGTCTGGCTTCCAATCAAGGGCCAAACATGGACCATGTCTTGGTCAAGTCACAGCCAAGTTAATAACTCATAACTGGGCCAGATAGATTAGTGTGTCTCGATTGCAATGAAATTGATAAACCCATGAAGCATTGCGCTTTAGGCACACTATAGGCGTGCTTTTTATCAAAGCGACCTGATTGGTAGATTTTTTTCTTTACTCAAAAATTATTTGAATGTATTTTAAATGTAGGTCAAGACAGGCCAAACTTACATGGCCCACATATCAATTATTAACATCGGGACCAAATACTACATTTGACATCTGGCCCAAATTGTGTGTGCCGCCTTAAAAATGGTGCCACACCTGCCAAACCCGGGCCATGTTTGGCCCCACCTGCTGTATGCCACTCCCAGATGAATGCCTGCTGTTTCAGCCTTATGCCAAATCTGGGCCAGGATTTTTTGCTACCTGGGATGTATTAATTAGATTATAAACCTTACCATGTTGTGAGTGAGTGCATATTCTGTGCTTCTGAATGGCTTTTTGTCGTGTTGCGTCTGGTGCAAATAGCCAAATTGCTTATCACTGCAAATCTCCTAACGTAGTGTGTTGTTGAAACACGGGGTTACAATGTAACCTGCTCACCTAATGTTTATGCTCGTAATATTTATTTTATTTGCTAATTAATAACCTTAATGTAGGACTCTGAATCTTCGTCTCATTTCACAGTCTGTTACTGCCCACCAGAATTCGCATTTCGGTCACGGACGCATGCTCTGAGCCTTCATGACAGAATGAATGAAATAAAATACGAGGTGCTGAAGTGGCATTGGGGTTGAAATGACCAAAACAATGACAGCATAACATATGTTTTCAAGGCAGAATATCTGACTTTAGCATTGTTTTTCAGATAAACAACAATGTTCACTTCATGTTTCTTAAATAACTGCAAACATGTTGTATTTTATGCTTTAGAAGAGTTTAACTTGCATACAGCACCTTTAAAGGCATAATTTACTCAAAAACCAAAATTCTGTCATGTTCTCATCATCCACTTGTTTCAAACCATTGAGTTTCTTCAGTTGGAACACAGGGGAAGATACACAGAAGAATGTTGAGGGGGGAAATAAACAAGCAGTGACTTGCATAGTATTTTTTGCTCCTACTATAAATGACATACTTCAGTAAATCTTCTTTTGTGTTTTAACAGAGGAAAGAAATTCAGAACAGAATTGAGTGCGAGTAAATGGTGAGGACATTTTCATTTTTGTGTAAACTATACCTTTAAATAATGTAAGAATTAGCTGTTTGTAGTGTCAAACAGCACAATGAGCTGTTTTGTACAGCTGAAAGATAGTCTTGAAATGAATGGCACTGAAAACTAAACATGTTGACAGTATAAGTAGACGCAAAAACATGAAAAATAGGGTGAATATTCACTCCCAGTATTGTGGAGCATAAAAGACATGCACTGCCTGCACTAAACACCAGGAGGCGCAATGTTCGTTTTTTTAAATATATTTAATTAAACAACACAGGATGGGCGTTAAAACTCAGCCTTTTATTCTAACAATTCAGTAATGGAGAAAAACGTTAGGATAATATAGCGTGCCATTCACATCGGTTTCGCTTTAAAATACACTATAAATGTGTAACGCACTTACAGAAGCTTCACAGTCTTGTTAAAAGCAAACAGTATGTAAAAACCAGGGACGTATTCAGGGATTTGGGGGGCCCGAAAGTTCTAAAATGTACATTTTGTGCTTTAATTTATGAATTATAATTTATTTATTCATGCAGTTTTTTTTCTTATATCACTCGGTCTATTTTTCTACATTTTATCTTAATGCAAAATAATAATAACATGTAGAGCATCTCTTAACATCTTGTAAAACTTTTTAAATTATTTATTTTTCTTCAAATGAAGTAACAACTAAAAACAATAAATGAACTGATTTGACTGCTGGACTGATCCATGATTGAGGGTGGGGAGACATTTGCACAAATGTAATAATTACGTTCAAATATAAAAAATAAATTGGACCCTCACCATACAAAATACGATAGAAAACAATGTTATATAAATTATAGGTAGAATTCAAAGTATTTATTTTCGGGGGCAGATTTCCTGGGGCTCTGAGTGGCTGCTTACCTTGCCTATTGGTTAAATCCGCCCCTGTGTGGAAACACAAGTGAATTGAGGGTTTTAGAACCTTTTCATGTTAATTTCAAGTGACTCATTTTATTTCACATAAAAAAAATCTAAACCCATGCTCCACATGTTAATCTGTTCATACGTTTCATCTGTTCCACATTTCACTTGTGTGCTTTTGTTATTGTTCAAAGATTATTGCACATGTGTTTCTGTGAGCTGCTTGTCTTGACAATTGTTCTTGACTTGCAAAGAACGAGGTTAAACCAGCAGCGCAGCTGTGTGTCAAAACCAGCACATGCAAGCAAGGGATGAAGGTAAGGGATGTATAATAATAGTATAATGTAATTAAAAATGTTTAAAAAAATAAAATTAGTTTAGAACCAGCATCATTTTTTCTTAATAAGGTAACACCGAACCAACCATTCAAAGAATAACAGGAAAATAGACATGCCTACTTTGTTATCAAATCAGTACTTATCTTTTACAGTCTATGATTAGTACATACAAATCATGCAATGAGCATACATGGTTTGTCTTTGGACTAAATGTAACCACAAATGTACAGGCATAGCCTGGGCTTTTATGTTGTGTTACGCCATGTTCTCTTACTCTCGTTTTGTGCTCCCCTTATTAAAGATGCAGTAGCTGATTGTTCAGAAACATTTTTTAGTTTTGTTTGCTGGTTAAAAGTCTTTTCACATTCCACTAGTAATGATTAAAGTAAATTATCTAAATGTATTTATATGTATTTTTTTATTCTGGGTAAGGCATAAGACTAAAAAAATATTTGTCCAATTAAAATTTGTCAGGCTGACATTTCCCATAAATCTGATAAGTAGCCCAAACTGTCTGTCACCAAATGCAGATCTGCTCACCCTGGTCACACAAACAGATCCGCCGTTTGCGCATGCATGTGCGCCATGTTCACATGCACACAAGAGAGTGACAGCAGTTAAAACAAATGCTCAATCAAAACTTTTAAAAATCCTGAATCAATATTGTAGTTACTTTTGCACGCTGGAGAAAGCATAAAACCATGGATGAAGTATGTCTTTTAGACAGATATTGTTATGTTTTAAAACTATTTTAGTCATGCAAAGCTGATGTAGTTTGTGTTGTTTTATGACTGGGTAATATCAAAGTCCCTTTAAGACATCAAAAACATCACATAAAATTCTCCAAAACTGCTTCTCTAAAATCTGCAGTAACTCACATCTGGTCCAAGCCCCCTCACGTCTGGGGCTTGGACCAGACGTGAGTTACTGCAGATTTTATGTGATTCGAGCTTTTAGAAATGAACCTTCTGAGCCAGTTGTTGTTTAGTTTTATTGGTGATTCCTAAAATGAAATTCAATCGTAAGCTTGGCAAGCAGTTTTGGAGAATTTGATGTTTCCCCATTCAGACAGCTTGCCAGAGCATACGGCCTGAGTGGCTTTTCAAAGATGGCTGCCTAGTGAAATGGCTTGTCTTAAAGGGACTTTGATATTACCCAGTCATAAAACAACACAATCTACATCAGCTTTGCGTGACTAAAATAGTTTTAAAACATAACAAAAAACATGGCATCTTTCGAAGGATGCAGACTTCAAAGGTGAGTCCTTTAAAGTCCACACAGGCTGAACAGAGCGTTTTGAAATGAGATGATCTAGCCTACAGATGATGGATCTCGTCACCGGGCAACCGTAACAGCCCTGATGTTAATAATCGCTGATAAAATTTTTAATGACTTTTTTCAACGTGATTTTAAAACTTATTTTAAGCGATCTGAAGGCAAAAAAAAGTTTACAGATGCTAGAAATATATTTCCTTTAATCCATACATACACATAAACATTAGTACTTTTAGTTTTTTTAACATGTGTTTAGATTTCCAAGTAAAATAAACCTTATTCATACATTCATTTTCTTGTCGACTTAGACCCTTTATTAATTTGGGGTCGCCACAGGGGAATGAACCGGCAACTTATCCAGCAAGTTTTTTACGCAGCGGATGCCCTTCCAGCCGCAACCCATCTCTGGGAAAAATCCACGCACACATTCACACACACACTCATACACTATGGACAATTTAGCCTACCCAATTCACCTGTACCACGTCTTTGGACTGTGGGGCAAACCAGAGCACCCGGAGGAAACCCACAGGAAGGCAGGGAGAACATGCAAACTCCACACAGAAACGCCAACTGATACGAGGTTCGAACCAGCGACCCAGCAACCTTCTTGCTGTGAGGCAACAGCACTACCGCGCCACTGCCTCGACCCCTAATTCATACATTTAAACCTAATTCATTCTTTTAAAAACGTTCTGCCGTTATCAGTGCACAATGAATCTTGGGACGATCAAGGCCGCAGAGGATCCACTGGTTGTGTCCTTCATTACCTGGGAAACGAAGGATGCATTTTGAGACTGCGTTTGAAGGAGCCTACAAATTTTTTTGAAATGAGACAGCCTTCATTGCACAGAAGTGCCCTTCTAATGCATCCTTCAGAGGATGCAGCTTCTGAAATGAGACATCTAAAGTCTTTGGTTTTATGCACTGAAGTGTTGTTCAGCCACTGAAATCTTCTAACAAAAGACCAATGTGAGTATTATTAATTTAATAAGGTACCTTTTAAAGCAACAATGTCGATTTTTATTTAGTTTAATTACAAAACTTAAGTAAATATTTTTATTCAGCCTAGCCTGCTTTACTGAGGTGAAGTTGGTTTGAAATTCATATTGGTTCTTTTTTTAACAATAACATCCTGCTCCCTATATTGTTTACCGCCACTCTGAATATTACATAATAGCATGTAAGTTTGGCTTAGTAATAAGTGTAATTTCTGCACACCGCCAGCCATCCACTAAGCATACGGTAGTCGCTTTAAGACAAAGCACGTGAGAGAGTGAGTCTAGCGATCCTTGCATGCATGAAATATTACACATGACGTTTGGCTTGCTACACAACTGTAAACATGCTAGATATAATACAGTTTTTTGTTCGGAATTGTAGTATAATAAAGCATTCTAAAGTTTTCTAACTGGCGAATGACATGATCTAGTGAATAATCTACTGCATTTAAGGTGCATCTTTTTGATTTCAGGAAACGTGTCTTTGTTTGGATGGCCGGGGTGGGACTGTGCTTAAAAAATATTTCATTTACATTTAGTCATTTAGCAGACGCTTTTATCCAAAGCAACTTACAAATGCTGACAAGGAAGCAATTTACACAACAATGAGAACAACAATGAATAAGTGCTGTAGCCAAGTTTCAGGTATATAAAGTGTAAGAAGCAAAACATTAGGAATTTTTTTTTTCTGTAATGCAGTTAGCGGTGAAACCAGAGAGGCAATTACAGATTAGGAAGGAAAGTGGAGACTAAATAGTTGAGTTTTTAGTAGTTTTTTGAAGACAGCGAGTGACTCTGCCGTTATGATGCAGTTAGGAAGTTCATTCTACCAACTGGGCAGATTGAATGCGAGAGTTCGGGAAAGTGATTTCTTCCCTCTTTGGGATGGAACCACTAGGCGACGTTCATTCACAGAACGCAAGTTTCTGGAGGGCCTATAAATCTGCTGTAGTCAGACCAGATAAGAAGGTGCAAAGCCAGAAGTTGCTTTGTAAAAGCAAACATCAGAGCTTTGAATTTAATGCGAGCAGCAACTGGCAGCCAGTGCAAACGGATGAGTAGCGGAGAGACATGTGCTCTTTTAGGTTCATTAAAGACCATTTGTGCTGCTGCGTTCTGAAGCAGCTGAAGAGGTTTGATAGAGTTAGCTGGAAGCCCGGCTAGTAGAGAGTTGCAATAGTCCAGTCTGGAGAGAACAAGAGCTTGAACAAGGAGTTGAGCTGCATGTTCAGATAGGAAGGGTTGGACCTTTCTGATGTTGTAGAGTGCGAATCTGCAAGATCGAGCAGTTCTAGAGATGTGGTCAAAGAAGTTTAGTTGGTCATCAATCGTTACTCCAAGGCTTTTCACTATTTTGGATGCAGTAATGGTTGCCCCATCCATCTGGATTGAAAAGTTATGATGTAGAGTCGGGTTGGCAGAAACTTCAAGCATTTCTGTTTTCATGAGGTTAAGCACCTCACGTTAGCATAATTGATTATTATGCTAACAGATATCATTTTGGCAGATTATCTACTGCCCCTTTAACCAAGCCCACTTACATTTTTTAAGGACATCAGGATTGTTGATTAATTTCTGAGCCTGCTAAGTTTAAAATCCACTTGATTCGATCACTTCAGCATACTGATGCAACTTTGTTCATTGTTGGAGTCTGTTCTATCCTAGCCATCTAGGTAGAGGTCTCTAAAGTAAAATAGTTCTGTATTAAACAAAGCATTTTACTGTGGGAACGTCCGTTGTACACGACCTACACACATATACATTGGCAAGCAATCTAAATGAGTGTCAGAGATGAAAAGGACAGCTGAAGGAGTTGTAAGAACAGTTTGGTTGTTTTCCAAATGGAGGGTGCTTTGGTTTACTCACTCGAATTTGGTTTACTGCTGCCACTGTGTTCTCCAGCACTTCCACACTCACAGATGGCTCTCCTGTCTTCCATTAACATAGATACACCGGCCAAATCTGCACAACCGCCACTCGCTGTGTGCTGAGGGGAATAATGTGCTGTAGAAACACACGCAATGTGATGACTCAAATCATGTGGGCTTCTCTGAGAGGCCTGGTTCTGTATGGCAATAAAATGACATTATAAAACGAAGAAAAACGGCCATCATTGAAGATACAAGGTCAAATAAATTCCCAGTGTTACATCCAGTGTTCTTGAAAATAATTCATATTATCAGAACTCTCTTAAATGTTTTGCCAAATATGCTAATATGTCTCAGTGCAGTTATATATCTTTGTTTAATAAGGTTTAGAGCTACTTCCTAAAAACAAAACAAAAAATCTGAAAATATATTTGGATTTGGATGTCGCCTCACAGTAAGAAAGTCGCTGGTTCGAGTCTAGGATGGGTTAGTTGCCATTTGTGTGTGGAGTTTGCATGTTCTCCCCGTGTTAGCGTGAGTTTTCTCTAAGGTGCTCCGGATTCCCCCACTGTCCAAAGACATGCGCTATAGTGAATTGGGTAGGCTAAATTGTCCGTAGTGTATGTGTGTGAATGAGAGTGTATGTGTGTTTCCCCGCGATGGGTTGCAGCTGAAAGGGCATCCGCTGCGTAAAGCATTTGCTGAATAAGTTGGAGGTTCATTCCGCTGTGGAGAACCAAAAAGAAAATTAATTAATTAATATTTGTATTATTTTAAAGCTTAAAAAAACAATTAGTTACCAGAATGTTCTTGGAATGTTGCAAAACAACCTAAGCAATACTTTTGTATTAATATTATTTGGTCATTTAAAAGTAACCACCCTTCATTAATTAAGGCAAGTTATTTCATTGTTGCCAAAATAATAAAAAAACCAATCATACATACACATACCTGCCCCTTTATTAGGTACCCCTTTCTTGTACCGGGTTGAAGCCTCTTTTGCCTTTAGAACTGCCTTAATCCTTAATGGCATGGATTCAACAAAGTACTGGAAATATTCCTCAGAGATTTTGCTCCATTTAGATATGAAAGCATCACACGGTTGCAGCAGATTTGTCGACTGCATATCAATGACACAAACTTCCCATTCGACCACATCCCAAAGGTGCTCTATTGAATTGAGATCTGGTGATTGTGGAGGCCGTTTGAGTTCAGTGAACCCGTTGTCATGTTCAAGAAACCAGTCTGAGATGATTCACGCTTGGCGCATTATGCTGCTGGAAGTGGCCATCAGAAGCTGTGGTCATAGAGGGATGGACATGGTCAGCAACGATACTTGGGTAGGCCGTGGCTTTGACATAATACTAAATTGGAACTATTGGGCCCAAAGTGTGCCAAGGAAATATCCCCCACACCATTACACCACCACCAGCAGCCTGAACTGGTGATACAAGGCAGGATGGATCCATGCTTTCATGTTGATGATGTCAAATTCTGACCGCACCATCCAAATGTCGTAGCAGAAATGGAGACTCATCAGACCAGGCAACGTTTGTTCAATCTTCAATTGTCCAAATTTGGTGAACTTGTGTAAATTGTCGCTTCAGAGTATTTTTGAAATACTCAGACCAGCCCGTCTGGCACCAACATCCATGTCACGTTCCAAGGCACCTAAATCACCTTTCTTCCTCATTCTGATGCTCAGTTTGAAAAGTTTGTAGTTTACTAAAAAAGAAAACATCCTGCAACGTTCTGTGAATGTAATTTTATGGTTATAAAATAATAAACTCAGAAAAAAAGGCATTTTCTTTATGTTATCATTTGGTTCTTTGAAAAAAAGTGCATCTGGGAACCACATGTGGGACACCAATGCTCTGTTTGATGGGTGTAAAAAGGTCTTAGTCACTATAGTACATAAAGACAGCTTATAAACTCTTTCTTTTCCTTCTAATCTTTTTTCATGTTGTAATGTACAGTATATACGCTTTACTGCAAAACTACATTTGGTTCTATTTGAGTGGAAGCTATGATATTGAGAACAGGAAGGAAACAAGCTTTCAAATCCATGAAAGACTCCAGACTCGAAATGACACAACAGAATTCACTTTTTAATCATTATTAACAATTATAGGTACTGATTTGTTCATTTTTTTTAAAACGCATTTGTTCATATTTCATTCTTTTGTACATAATCTGGCGTGCAAGGCAAAGGTACACATGATAGAAAATAGATTTGCGCAGGGTCAGTCCATGTGTTTCTCAGGTGAGGGGGATTCAGTTCTTTGGTCTGATGTTTCTCCCTGCGTTGTGTGCTCCTCTGAGACCACCGACTCATCCCTCTCCTGGTTGGTCACTTGCTCGCTGGACCCAGTTGGGCTCTGTTCTGATTGGCTGTCTGTGACTGTTGTGCTGTCCGTCTCCTCCACCTGTCCAGTGCTGTCCTTCCCCGCAGATTTCACTGTGAATGCACATGATGGACACAAAAGCAAGAGGTCTAATTAAAGTACTGCGCAAATCATTTGTTGTCTTTAAGTTTGGCACACTAATAGTATCAAGGACACATAATGCAGGCTTTATACAGTTGATGTCAGATTTTTTTTTCAATAAATTCTGTTTAATGGAGAGAGGATTTTTTTTCAACACACTTCTAAACCTAATCAGAACTCATTTCTAATAACTGATTTCTTTTATCTTTGCCATGATGACAGTACATAATATTTTACTAGATATTTTTTTCAGGATACTAGTATTCAGCTTAAAGTGACATTTAAAGACTTAACTGGGGTAATTAGGCAAGTCATTGTATGTCAATCTAATCTAATTAAAATATTGCTGAAGGGGGCTAATAATATTCACCTTACATTTTTTTTTAAATAATTAAAAACGATTTTATTCTAGCCGAAATAAAACACAAAAGACTTACTCCGGAAGAAAAAAACATGATAGGAAATACTGTGAAAAATGTCTTGCTCTATTCAACATTATTTGTAAAAAAAAAAAATAATTCACAGAAGGGCTAATAATATTGACTTCAACTGTATATATGGCTTTAATATCAAGGTTTTTTTTGGTGTTGGAGTAGATTTAAAGTCTCCTCCACTCACCCGGCTCACCCTCAGGTAAATCCTCTGAGCAGGTCGTCAGCTCACCCACATTCCCTTTCTTTCGCCCCGGTGACTTCTGCCGTCTTGGCAGCGCAGCCTTCAGCTCTGAAAGAGGCCGTGAGAGAATTGGCAGTGAAATAGTGTATTGGCATACAGTACGTTACAGTTTTTGCTTAAACAATTAAATGAACAATAAAACAAATCATGTATTGTATAAATACTTAAACAGCACCACTGTTTTCAACAGTGAGACCCCAAAAAAGACTTTTAGTACTAGTACTTTCATATTTTTCTTAATATTTTTGCATATTAGAACATTTTATAAAAGATCATGTAGCACTAAAGACTGAAGCAGATTTATTAGAGTTAAATAAAACCATAAATGTAAAGACATTATGGATTTAATTTAACAAAAAAAAAACATTTAATTCATCTGTTTGCTATTATTACTAGTAATTTTACAAAACTATAATAGTTACTAATGGAAAGTAAAACAAGACTTTAAAGAGAAACGGGTTCTATATAGTCTACAGTGAATGTGGAAAGTATTCATAGTACGTTTTTTATGTTACAGCCTTATTCCAAAATGGATTAAATTAATTTATGTCCTCACAATTCTACACACAATACCCCATAATGACAATGTGAGGAAAGGCTTTTTGAAACTGTTGCAAATAAAAAACCTGAAAAAGTACATCAGTATTCACAGCCTTTGCCATGAAGCTCTAAATTGAGCTCGGGTAAATTCTGTTTCCACTGATCATTCTTGAGATGTTTCAGCAGCTTAATTTAAGATGTCAAGGCACAAACCAAGCATGAAGACAAAGGAATTGTCTGTAGACCTCCGAGACAGGATTGTCTCGAGGCACAAGGCTGGGAAAGGTTACAGAAATTTTCTACTGTTCTGAAAATTCCAATGAGCACAGTGGCCTCCAACATGCGTAAGTGGAAGATGTTTGGAACCACAAGGACTCAGGCGCTAACCCCCTTAGTCAGGGAGGTGATCAATAACCCAATGGTCGCTCTGTCTGAGCTCCAGCGTTCTTCTGTGGAGAGAGGAGAACCTTACAGTAGGACAACCATCCACCAATCAGGCCTGTATGACAAGTAGGAAGCCACTAGGGATGTCAAAATGAATTGTTTCTTCGTTGCACCACGATGCAGACGCGGACAATTCGCTATCGATTCAGTATAATCATAACCGGTTATTATGACTGATGTCATTTATCTCATATGTGCTATGTCGCCGTAGCTTACTATGGCGAGGGAGGCAGATTTTGTCTCGAGGGACAACGCTCCTACTACTTAAAAACGCAGAAACTGTGCACAATTTCACTGCGTGTGTGTTTTTTGGACTGTCTGGACAGTACTTTCAGAATGAAAGTAAACTCTCTTCTCTCTTTCTCTCACTGTGGCTGGCGTGACTTTTCCTTTCCTCTCGGCTGTTACAGTGATATTTCTTGATACAGACACTAGTGCGTGTCTGCAGAGTTTTCTCCACCGTCTATAATGTCTATAATGGATCAGCTGTGATTGCCACTGCCGTTTATAAGTGTCACTCATCTGTGAAAAGCGCCAGCGAGCAAGAGCCAATCGCAGCCCTTTCTGTTGAGCGTGTGACCAATCAAAGGGGTGTAAGAACTTGCTAGACAAGGATCAGAAAGCGAGCTGAATATTTAAATTTGTTTATTTGCTATAAATACTTGTGTGGTTTAAAGGTACAGTTTATATATCTGACTGTTTGTTTTAAATGACAACATTGCATTACAAATAGTATAGAAATATAAATATATTTATACATTTTAATACAAGAATTGCTGCGGTAAAGAAAATATAAAACTGTGTATGGAAAGCATCGTCATTGCACCGTGATATCGAATTGAACCATTTCGATTGCCATGATAATCATAACTAAATCTAACCATGAGACCAGTGTAGGTTCACAGCTCTAGAAGTCACTCTACACCTGGAATTTGCCAAAAGGCATCTGAAGGACTCTCAGACCATAAGAAACTCAATCTCTGGTCTGATGAGACTAAAATTTAACTCTTTGGAGTGAATGCCAGGCGGTAGATTAGGAGAAAACCAGGCACCGCTCATCACCAGGCTAATACCATCCCTACAGTGAAGCATGGTGGTGGCAGCATCATTCTGTGGGGATGTTTTTCAGCAGCAGGAACTGGAAGACTAGTCAGGATAGAAGGAAATAGGAATGCAACAATGGACAGAGACATCCTGAATGAAAACCAGAGTGTTCTTGACCTCAGACTGGGGCGACAATCCTTCTAGCAGGACAATGACCCAAAGCACAAAGCCAAAATATCAGTGGCTTCACAACAACTCAGTGAATGTCCTTGAGTGGCACAACCAGAGCCCAAACTTAACTCCTATTTAACATCTTTGGAAAGAACTGAAAATGGCTGTACACCGTCGCTACCTAACAAAACTTGAAAGAGTTTGAGAGGTACTGCAAAGAGGAATGGGCAACAATTCCCAAATAAAGGGTTTGCCAAGCTTGTGGCAGCATATTCAAAAAGACTTGAGGCTGTAATTGCTGCCAAAGGTCCATCAACAAAGTGTTGAGCAAAGGCTGTGAATACTGATGTACATGTGATTTTTCAGGTTTTTATTTTTAATAAATTTGCAACAATTTCAAAGAATTTGGAGGAAATAAATGAATTTAATCCATTTTGGAATAAGGCTGCAAACATTTAAAAAATGTGAAAAAAAATGAAGCAATGAATACTTTCCAGATGCACTGTATATTGTAACGTTTCACAATTTTTTTCTTAACAGACATCTTTTAAAGACAAAAAAATTACAAACTCCAAATGTTATGATCCAAATTGTACAGTATGATATTGTATAATATATGATAATAGTCCAATAGTACTTGCAGCTAACCATCAATCACTTCAGCAGGTTGTCTTCAATATCCACCAATTAATTTAGTCGATTAAAGCAACGTAATTTGATTGCTCATGAAACACAACATTCAAATATCTCTCTCATGTCACATGTGTGCAATCATTCTGAGGGTCACTCAGAAACACAGTGTGGATGCAGCTGACATATAGTGAGTGACATTATGAGACATCGGAGGCTCACCCTCAGGGTCAAGCATGGCGGCATGTTGGAGGAGAGAGTCTTCGTGGACAGACACAGCACGGCGCTGGGGAGAGGGCTTCATGCGGGGCCGTGGGATAGGGAGGGTCTCTATGAGAAGAAATACCATCAGACTGTATCCGTTCTTTATAAGAACAGACCACAATACAGTGTCTTTACAGCTCAAAGTATACTTCAGCTTTTAGGTGTATAATAGAGCAGTGTTTCTCCACCACGTTCCTGGAGGGCCACCAACACTGCATGTTTTGGATGTCTCCTTTATCTGTCACACCCATTTCAGGTGTTTCCGTCTCTGCTATTGAGCCAATTATCTGAACCAGGTGTGTTTGATTAGGGAGACATGGCAAATGTGCAAAGCTAGTGGTCCTCCAGGGACGTGGTTGAGAAACACCGCAATAGAGTATGCATGCAAGTGGACATTATGTGACAAATTGAGTGTATGCCCAATTTTGCTAAGATGTCCTCGCTGCAGTGTGTATCATGATGACGTACTGGACCAGGTCCAATATGTAGTGGACATTGTAACGCCCACTAAGGCAACGCTCATGCTACTGTGATGATTGGGGTTAAAGTTGGGCGAGGTGTGGACGATCGTACACTACATAATGGACCTGATCCAGTACGTCATCAAGCTGCAGGCTGCAGCTAGGACTAACTCAATTTTGCATGCAATACACATACTATTTGTTTTAAGTTTGTCCACTAGGTGGAAACAATGTAAAAGCTCATTGTTTAAGATTTGGACATAAAATGTAGTAGATGGTGACCCAAAAAACAGAAAACGCCCACACTGGTGACTGCTTGTGTGAAGGGATTAAATTCTATCTGCCACTCTAAGTACATTTTATCACACACACTGTTGGAGTGAGAAAGCACACCATCCCACCAGGTTGGACCCCCTTTTGCCTTTTTATCTAATTTTCCTAATTCATGTCCTAAGTACACACAATGCAACAATTTCCATTTCCATTAGGAGTTTTTGTCCTAACCACCGGTGGTGACAACATGTAAAATTAATATTTTAGAAACTCTTTAGAAATCTGTTTCTGTGATGTTGTGGCTGAACAACAGCATAAACTACTAAGGCAATGATCACCTCAGGCCAACTATTTTCAATGGAAAGTAGCTAAGCTCTGCTCGAAAAGTCGTTAAATGTCACTAGATGATGTCATGTGTAAATTTACATATTACTGACATCATCTAATATCTAAGTTTATTATGTGTTTAACATGTAATAGCTGCACGGTGACGCAGAGGGAAGCACGTTCCGGGTCCAAGCCGCAGGTCATTTGAATTAAGAAAATATTTGTTTATGACCCCTTTTCAGTTCTATCACACATTAAAGTGAATTTTATATAAAATCATGGTGTACAGATCGTCTCTGGACTTGCTGCATCTCATCCAACAATATATAAAACATTTATCACTTTCTGGGCATCAGATATTAGACATGGATATATATTTTGCAATCTTGATTTTCGAAAGTAATCCATCGCTTTGTAAATGTTTATTATTACCATTTGCTGAGTCTCCCCATACAGTTTGATATGGTGCTTGCACCCGGAAGCCGCTTCGTGTGACGTCACTCTTACTAAGCGGATATGATTTATTATCTTATTATGATTCATTATCTTATTTATTATCTATATGATTGTCAGTTATGTGGCGACGCAGTGGCGCAGTGGGTAGCACGTTCGCCTCACAGCAAGAAGGTCGCTGGTTCGGGCCTCGGCTCAGTTGGGTCAGTTTCTGTGTGGAGTTTGCATGTTCTCCCTGCATTCGCGTGGGTTTCCTCTGGGTGCACCGGTTTCCCCCACAGTCCAAAGACATGTGGTGCAGGTGAATTGGGTAGGCTAAATTGTCCGTAGTGTATGTGTGTGTGTGAATGAGTGTATGTGAAGGGCATTCGCTGCGTAAAAACTTGCTGGATAAGTTGGCGGTTCATTCCGCTGTGGCGACCCCAGATTAATAAAGGGACTAAGCTGACTAGAAAATGAATGAATGAATGTCAGTTATGTTAAGTTAATTGTTGTTTGAAAACAGCTAAACTGAATGTACAGTGCTGTGTATTTACAGTGTAGACTTTCAGACGTAATTAACAAACTCACTCAGAAAAGTTCAGAAACTGGTATGTCACCAAAGCTCTCATGTTCATGTGAGAAGTGCTGTGGTCAACAGAACGGGCTGTGGTCAGGGCTTACTGAACAGAGAAGATGCAGGGGGAGATGTGACTGTATCGGGTAAGACATACCTGACACTCGCAGGTCTTTGGCCCAAAAGTTGCTAGATTTGTCGCTAGATACTATACTGAAACAATGTTGTAGAGGAGTCTGAAAAGTCACTAAATATAGCGATAAAGTTGCCAAGTTGACAACACAGCCTCAGATGCTGATTATGTGCCTTATTCAGCATTAAATGTTACCAATGTGCCATTTTACTTGACATTTATTGCCACACTGAACGCGACAGCACACAGTTTATCTTTAGATCTTAAAAATAAAATAACTAGCAAACAAAGTGTAAACATGACATAATGTTAAAACTATGAGTGCATGTACTCAGCATCTACTTTTAATCATGCTAAAGAGGTTTAGTTTGTTGATTCGATTATAAACCTGTCCACCTCTGAATGGCTTGTATTTAAATGTTTCTGTCATGTCATGTCTGTGGCGGGCAGCCAAAGAGTGTGTCGCTACTATCTTGTCTCGTTCCTGTTGTTAGGAAACTGTGTATTGGTATGGTTTCAGCAAAGGGTCCATTGTAACATGATAGCATGGTAATGCTGCACAACCATGGGCCAAACCTCCATTTCTAGCACATCCCAATAGTGTACTACTGGACTGATATCTGTTGACTGTGGAGAACATTTCAGTTCTCATTGTCATGTTCAAGAATCCAGTTTGAGATATGATTGTTATTTGGCTGGAAACAGCCATCACAAAATAGGTGTACTGTGGTTATAAAGGGATAGACACGGTCAGTAATAATACACAGGCAGTCTGAGGGGTTTAAACTATGCTCAGATGGTACTAAGGGGTCTAAATTGTGGCAAGCAAAAATTGCTCCCAGTATAAGACCCCCAGCTGCTGTCTGAACTGTTGATAAAAGGCAGGATGCCTTCATGTGCTTTCTGCCAAACTCTGACCCTACCATCTGAATGTCACAGCAGAAATTGGGTTTTTGTGTTAACAAGCAGTTGATCAGCTGTACCTAATAAAGTGGCCGATAAGTACTTTGAATTGCTTGAAGTATACTTTGCTTTAGGCTGTTTTATACTATTATTTGGATTTATTTATTAGGTTTGACAGTGAAAATGGGGGAAATCAAGAAGAAATACAGTCAGGATTCAAACCTGCAATCCTTCATATCATGAATGTACAAGCTAACACTGCACCTCAATAATCACAAGGTCAATTACAACAGACACACAGATGAGAAAAATAACTGAATCAGGATGCACAGACGTAGGGTGGAAGTGAATGAGAAAAAAAATGTCCAGAGAAAATGCTGACACAAACACAACACTTGACACCACCAGGGGATGTTCAGCTTATCACATTATCGCAATATTCATATTCTCCAGTATGTGGTTATTGCACTAAGATAACATTTGGAACTACAAAGAGTATTTTGGACAAACACTCAAAGAATGAATGCATTTTCATCAGCGCCCATTTGCCGTATCGGTCTCACAAGCATTGAATTACAGGACTGATGGGACAGGGCTAACTGAATTGTGTTTGGCTGTTTGCAGTAAAGGCCGCCAAACGCTGAGAGCTTCAGGTCAGCAATTGAGGGAGGTGTTGAATTTAAACAGATGCTAATCAATGCATTAATGTATGTGGGCCTATGAATTATATTGTGAAGGTTGAACTTGAATCCAGAACACAAAGTGAAAAGAGAAATTAATAAAAATTAGACTGTCAAATCATTAAAGATGTTTCACCTACACTGTAAAACCCAACAGTCAACTTTATCAAATGAAATGAGTGTAGTTAACTTAAAATTGTCTGAAAGTTAATTCTACTTATTTGAAAAGAGTTTTGAACTCAGTGTTGAATGTAATGAGTTAAATAAATACCTCATTGCTTCAACTTAAATAGAGTAAGTTCACAGTACTCATATAGATTAAGTAAATCTATATGAGCTTAATCACTTAAGTTAATTGACTAATCCAAATCGACACTATAGACTATATCCTAGTAAGTGGTTATCTATTAAGAGCAATCACAATCTGTTCATTAGCTACTACAGCAGGGGAGTTTTCGAGATCTACCTGAGCTCAACTCCCCTCTCGCCTTGCAAACGGGAGGGAGCTGGGGCTCGAGGATCATATGAGCTCAGATCTCTCTCCCGGTACAGCATGCCAAACAAGCTTTATAATTAATGATAAGCTAAGTGTAAACTCTTGAAAAAACATAATGCTTTTTTATCTAGAAAAAACAAACAAAAAGTGCTCAGGGGTAACTCAAATATTTGGTCGGTGCTCTTTGGGTAAGGGATTCATCAAAACAACAACAGGAATCAATCCAAGGCACCTAGAAAAATGTGGAAAATTTAAAAAGCCTTTATTCACGTGGGTACATCTTAAAAAAACCTACGTAGGTTTTTCCTTATTTACTTTTGTTTTTTCATTCACTCAACTTTTGAAAACATCTGCTGCACTGGCCTAAAATTACTTGCCAGTAATACAAAAAACATTTAGTTAGGTTAACATAAAATTAATAGTTTTCTGGAGAGGTTAACTATTCTGTAACAAAACGTTTCATGTTGTGCCAACTGGACATTTTTTGTCTGTAGAACTGGAATGCCTGTTGTTGAATGAACAAAAAAACATAACACCTGTTTCCTTTTGTTTTTTCCCAAGTACTCAACACTTTTTAAATATTTGTTTTCACCTTTAATTTAAAGGACATTACAGAGTATAAACAGAAAAGCATGGGGAGAGGAGAGAGATTGGCGTAGGACTTCAAGACAGGAATCAAACTCAGGTTGCGGTGAACGCCGGAGTGCCATGTGTCGATGCTCTAACCACTACATCATTGCTTCCGACATGTACTCAACTTTTGAAAACATTAGTTGTACTGACCTAAAAGGTCTGAAATTGAGTGGACAAAAACTCTTGCGGAAACTGGTACTAAGAAATAATACATTATCAGAACAAACATACATAGTTCAACGGAAAAAAACAAAAACAGAGACACATGTTAACAAAACATTTATTAGATACAGAATTAGAAACAGGACAGAGACTAAAACAATAATAACGGTAAACAAGACAAAGATCAAAACATGGCATGCTGCCTTCCTGTATTTTTAATTGAACTACGTTTGTTTGTTCTGATAATGTATTATTTCTTAGTACTAATTTTCAAGTTTTTTTGTTTGTTTACTCGACTTCAGACATTTTAGGTCAGTACAACTGATGTTTAAAAGTCAAGTACACGTCAGCACCACATAGCACTCTGATGTTCACTGCAACCCGAGTTTGATTCCCACCTCAAGTGTTATGCTGATCCTTCTTCTTTCTCCACGTTTTCTGTCTATACTTTCTACTGTTGTGTCAATTGGTAGAAAAAAAATGTTGAGTACATAAGAAAAAAACCAAAGGAAATAAGCATGTTCACAACTTCAGGCTTTCCAGTTCTGCAGACAAAAAAAATTCAGTTGGCACAACTTAAAACGTTTGGCTACAGAGTTGTTTTTGAGTAGTTCTCCAGAAAATGTATAAATAATCTTATGTTAACCTAACTAAATGCTTTTTGTATTACTGACAAATAATTTCAGGTCAGTGCAGCTGATGTTTTCAAAAGTTGTGTGGACAAGAAAAAGCCAAAGGGAATAAGGTTTTTTTTTTTTTGTTTTGTTGTTGAACTGACAAACATTTTTTTTGTGTGATTTTTATCAGTCATACTGTTATACACTGAAAAGATTTGTCCTAATGTCAAGTAAAACATGAGGACCACACAATAAATTTTATTTATGTATGTTTTATAACTATACAAAATATTTAATTTTCTATGTATATCATATTTTATGATACTCTAAGCCTCCACAATAAAATGAAAAAATCTAGTTGGAGTTTGACATATCATGAATTGTCATTGTATGAATTTTCCGGATATGAACTTGGAAAAGCATGAGGATGTGTGAATTAACTTTGACTTTTCAACAGCATATTATGTGATAACAGACCATCCAAAGACTGAACACCCCATTATCCCATTAGATTGACAGTTAGGCAAACCTTCAGTGACGGATTGTGCTCTCTCTGCACGCTCTCGGATATCTGTGCTGAGAATCCTCCGTGGTGAGGGAGCTGGAGGCGCCTCTTTGCGGGGAGATGGGGTCGGAGGCTCCTTCTCCTTCTCCTGGGGCTGAGAGACAGAGATGGCCTCGGACACCTCTGGCTGACCATCCTGAGAAGGGCTGGGGAGTTTGGGAGTGGCTGTGGCCGTCCGCGCTGTCTCACTAGTCGGGAATAAAATGGGCTTCATGGTTGGTTTAGGGGGCAACGGGCCTATAGGACGCTCTGGGAGTTGTGGCCTTTCTGTACGTTGGAAGTCTGTAACACTCTGGGTCACTCGGGTTGGTCGCCTGGTGTCTGGAGGAAACAGGAATTTTAAAGTTGGAATGCAATACAAATGAAATCCATTTTTAAAATCTAGTTGTGAATGGTTTATTGCTTAATATGTACATTTATTCAGCAATCTAGGTCTTCACTATCCAATCAAGAACTGATGGACAAAGTCTCATCCTTAATTTTTTTTTTTTTTAATAGTCCATTTTACAATATACAGACAAAATTAATTGTAACTTAAACTTTTATTAAAGCTGAGTGAGTAAAGTCAGAACATTTCAAACCCGTATATTGCTATAATAGACAATCCTCTACCTCCTATGTGTTAGAAATAATCCAAAATGCCCTGGTAACCACCTTGCAACATTGCAGTCACTACCCACAACATTCAAGCAACTACTAGTCACTCAGGACACCCCAAGCAACTCCTTGTAATCCCCCTATAACTATGACATATCACACATTTGACAAACTGGCCCTCACATATATTCAAATTGAGCAAATAGTACATATTTGGTGTGTTGTGCAAAAGGAGGGCGCCGAGCTTGAATTATACTGTAGCTTAAAATCCCAAAAGCACCCCATAACCCATAGTTGGAATGCAATATAAATGAAAGATATTTGTGAATGATTTGTCCCTTAATATGTTAATTGATTTTGACCATCAAAATATCAGCAATCTTCCTTCTCACAGCCTTCTAGGTCTTCATCTGGCCAATCAGCAACTGATAGACAAAGTCTCATCTTTAATTTCCTTTTTTTCAACGGTCCATTTCACAAAACACATAAAAAATCACTGTATCCTTAACTATTATTAAAGCTGGGTGATTCATTTCTTACCTGACGAGGTGGACATTGTGCGGGGTTTCATAAATGTAGGCGGTGGCTCGGGTTTGTCAAGTATTGCACCTAAAAAGCAAGTACAGTGTACTGAATAATAGATCAAATGGCTGTAACATCCCATACAAAAAAAGCTGCACATGTACCCTAAACATATTCTGAGCTAGGCTAATGCACAAGAATAATTAGTACAAAATAAGTTCAAGGACAAGGATTTTATGGCAGAAACTGCAGACCACCTTTAAATTGGATTTAAAACAAAGCTGCAAGGCATTCTTGATATTTGTTTGCTTTAATCATAGGATTGTGTGCAAATGCATGGCCCTTTGCTAGACTCACAAAAGAAAACAAAGCTTTCTATAACTTTCAGATTCTGAAACACATGCACAGAGTACTCAGAACTAGACCTGACTTTGCATATCAAATTTATTTTGAAAAATGAGACAATTTTCATTACAAATTTAAAAAACTTTGGTTGACTGTGAAACAGCTCTGAACTTTCAGATTAAGACATTAGGACTCCAGTTTCCAGTGCCTAAACTGCAGGTCTGCACAAGAAGTTTGGCCGGAAGAGAAATGGTCGTGCCCGATTGAGCCTGGTTTCTCTCAAGATTTTTCCCCTTCACTTTTGTCAATTGGTGAAATTGGTTCCTTGCAGGCCCGGATTAAGAACTCAGGGGCCCCTGGGCACATTATCTTGTAAGGCCCCCTACCTGGCCGCACCCCTATAGTTGAATTAAAAAAATAAGAATAATATAATAATTTTTAAATAAAATGAATCTATAATTTGTTGCCCACATATTTAAATAAATGATATATAGTACATATGTATTTATAGTCTGCAAAGATTTAAATTATTTTTCAAAGCATTAAATAAAAATACTAATAAAACTACATAGCTAAAACTACATATATATATATATATATATATATATATATATATATATATATATATATATATATATATATATATATATATATATATATATATATATGTATGTATACAGTTCTATGAATCTGAGTTCTATGAATCTGAGTCTTTCATAATACTAACACTGATTTACTGTCTCTCTCCTCCTCTCCCTGTATTTTCTCTACTCTTCTCGTGATGAAGACTTGATTATAAACCTAAAAGTATCCGAAATCACAGACACTATACCTCTAACCTCTTCTCTCCCCTCTCTCTCCTCTTCTGGGCCTCTCTCTCTCTCTCTCTCTCTCTCTCTCCTTTTCTGTCTGTCTCTCACCCGATGAATCCAGTCCGCGCTGCGCTGCCGTTAGCCTCCTCCGCCTGGTTAATGCTAGCTACTCATCATTTAAAGTACCCTCATTCTCCTGATCACGGGTCTGTTTGAAGAAGGTGTGTATGGAAAATGCCTCAATAAAGATGCCTCCTCTCCTCTTTCTCTCGCGTTTGCTAAATCCACTTGTCCACTCATTTTTGATCTATGACAGATATAACGTTACACTGAAGTCCGCTCAGTTTAGTACGGGTTATTACAAAACTGACGTTTCCGCACTTGACCAATTACAGCATTCTGTTTAGTTAAAGAAAGAAAGGCAATTTAAATATAATAATAATATTAATATGTGATCGCGATTTTTTTTGCTCAGAGGAAATACAGTTGTCTGAGCAATAGAGTTTTTGAAGAGAGGGAGGCGCGGCAGGCGCCTATAATAAGGCTAAACATTATTAAATACCCACGAGACACTTGTGACTTTATATCACATTTGCATTATTTTAAAAAAATTTTTCTTTCCTGTTAAAAATAAATATATTTCCAATCTGATATGTAATGGGGAGAAATAAAAGTAGCACGAGTTCAGCTGATGGTGGATTCGAACCGATGTTATGATTAATCGCGTCAAAAGATGATGCCGTGTGTCTTACAAGGTGCGCCACTGCGGCTATATAATTACACTGCTCTTTACTCATCTTATCTCTATCAATCAGGCATCGATGGGCGTAAACCCTGAATAGTTTAGTCCAACTAGATGCGCTATTTGCAATTAGCCTAAAAAGACACTCCAAAATTGTCTTTTTTTCTCCCCCCTCGCAGGGGCCCCTGGTGCGCACGGGCCCCTGGGCCTGTGCCCATAAGGCCCATTGGTTAATCCGGCCCTGGTTCCTTGCCACTGTTGTCACTGGCTTGCTTGGTTTGAGACTTGTGGAGCTGCATATAAATAGATTTGCTCTTCAGTGTTTGTACTTTCAGCAGTGAAAATTAAACTGAACTGAACTAAACTAAACTTAAACTCTGAAAACTGGACTAACACAGTTTCAATTTACTAGAACTTCTAAGCTGCTTTATGTAATGTACTACTGCTTTGACACAATCTACATTGTAAAAGAAAGGAAAAAAAAGTTGTGGTTATTATTAATGCACTTACAGTGAGTGCCCTTAAAAAGTGTTCCAAAGTTTTGATAAGAGCCAGCAAATGTTTAGGACTCCAATACATAGTCTGTGGAAACACATGGCTGGTTCATGACAGGTTCCAATCCTCCTGGACAACAATGGGCTCAAGAACAGACTCTGGATGATAAACCCCAACTGTTCTAGTAAAAATAAGTTTTTTGACTCCTAAGCAAAAACCTCAAACCAGGTTTACATATCTAATTTAACAGATCCATAAGTCTGTAACATCTACATGCAAGAGAAGGCCCACTGTATAAGGTAAGTGGAGAAACCTTACTATTTTGCAACTCAAAGTGAATGACTTAAAGCAGGGGTGTCCAAACTCGGTCCTGGAGGGCCGGTGTCCTGCAGATTTTAGCTCCAACTTGCTCAAGAATGTTTCTAGAAAGCCTAGTAAGAGTAGCCCAGGTTTGTCTGATTGGGGTTGGATCTTTGCAGGACACTGGCCCTCCAGGAGAGAGTTTGGACGTGCCTGATTTAAAGGATTAGTCACCCAAAAATGAAAATTGTAACTTGGTGGTTTAACTGTAATCATACAAAGCTCCATGCACATTTTTGTGCACCAAATAAACTGTCAATATGACTTTGTTCATCTACTTCTACTCGTTCTCATCAAGCCATCAGTGTGTGCATTTACTACCAACAACTCAATGTAACAAGCAAACATTGTATTTTCCATAGTAAACGTGCCCCCTGACCGCGAGAGGCATAGGCACACGAAAATGATTCTTGGAACTTTATGATTACAGTTGAACTACAGACGTCACCTGGAATATTCTGACAATGTTTTTAGACTTTAAATATTGTTGCTTTCTATGGAAGATGAGAGAGCTCTTAAATTTCATGTTTTTTCAACTTATGTTCCGATTATGGAGATTGGAATGACATGAGGGTGAGTAATAGATAACAAAAAACTCTGGGGGATGAAATAATCCTTTAACCACATTAGAAGCATACATAGGCCATATCACGATGTGACTCTCTAGCAGTCCCACCTAAAAAACCCAGAGCAGAAACACTGAGATCGCCACTGTCAAAACACAGATGTGCTGACATAGCACTATGGATGCAGAAATTCTCATATTCTCCCAGCACATACAGTAGCTTAGAAATGTGTCTTACCCTCAGAGTTGGCTTTCCTCAGCTCTTCATCCTTGCTCTGTAAGAGGATAACACTGGTTTAAATCAGATACCTAATGAAGTATGTGTATAATCTTTAATTCACCTTTATGTAAAGAACACGCTGTGATTTGGATCCTGTGGGTTTAGCAGAGTAAGCGATTATTACCAGGGGAAAGGTGTTTTTATTTGATATGAGCCATTTATGCAGGATCAAATCCAATAGCGGTAAATTATGTATGACCATTAATAAAGTTTAAAAGGTCTTCAGAGAACAGAGTATAACAAATTCAAGTTTAAAGGAGGATTTGTTTTTCATGGCAAAAAAGGTTGGTTATAAACATTATTCAAAAATCAAGCATCAAATTGAAAGCATCAATGAAAAGCCCACACTAACCTGGCTCTGTTTGGTGTCGGTGGGAGATGTTTTGGTGACTCCCATGCGGTGAAGCATGACATGGAGACGCTGTTCAAAGCTGGACGAGCTCTCAGATGCGTGTTTCTAGATAGTGACCCGGGAAAATTGCCTCTTAGAACATTTTTGTACAAATAGCACAGGAAACATTTCTATCAATATTTATTCTAGGAGCTTTCAGGGCCCTTTTTAGCAAACGAAATCAGCCAAACATGAAATAGTCAATAAGATCCTCTAAAAATGATAGCATCCTTTCAGCCAAACTATAAAATACTGAGTAAATGCCTTCAGCCAACAAAAATCATATTATACAAAAAGCATATGCTGTGAGAAGTGCAAAATCAACATTATGTTTTTACTCTCCTCTAGATGTTCTGATACTAAATCACACCCATATTCACACTGGAGACAATTGCACTTCATGTTCCTGACACATTTATATAAAGAGTAACAACAATCTCTGTAAATCTCGTCACAGAGTGCTCGGAAAACAGAAATATGACGTAAAAGAAATGCTCAAACAAGCATTGCCATTGTACAGCCATGTTTTTGGGAAACGTACCATGGTGGGCTGTTTTTTTATGATATGTATATTAGCATGTATTAATCAATTATTGTGATATATTTCAGTAATGTTTTCTTGTTTTAAATGCAAACATAACCAAATTTAAAGAGAATGAGAATTATGTTTAAAACTGTTTGCCATTGGGGTAAAAATAAATATTTTGGTAAAGATAAGTTAAAAGTTAACAAATAATGTAACTAACAACAGCAAAAGTCATAAAAAGTTATTAACATAGTTGGACATACTTTGGTTCAAAGTAACCAAACATTGTGTGATTGAGCGAATATACATTAAGTTTGGGGGAGGTGGGGTGGGGTGGGGTAATAAGTATATATAAGTATATATACAGTTGAAGTCAGAATTATTAGGTCAATTCAAATTTTTATTTATTTATTTTTTCTAAATGATGTTTAACAGAGCAAGGAAATTTTCACAGTATGTCTGATAATATTTTTTTCTTCCCAAGAAAGTCTTCTTTGTTTTAATTTGGCTAGAATAAAAGTAGTTTTGAATTTTTTAAACACCATTTTAGGGGCAAAATTATTAGCACCTTTAAGCTATATTTTTTCTCGATAACCTACAGAACAAACCATCGTTATACAACAACTTGCCTAATTACCCTAAATTGCCTAGTAAACCTAATTAACCTAGTTAAGCCTGTAAATGTCACTTTAAGCTGTATAGAAGTGTCTTGAAAAATATCCAGTCAAATATTATTTACTGTCATCATGGCAAAGATAAAATAAATTAGTTATTAGAAATGAGTTATTAAAACTATTATGTTTAGAAAGGTGTTGAAAAAATGTTCTCTTCGTTAAACAGAAATTGGGGGAAAAAATAAAGAAGCAGTCTAGTAATTCTGGGGGGCTAATAATTCTGACTTCAACTGCATATATAAGTCATGTTTTTTTCTTAGGAATAATATTTCTAAAGGAGCTGTTGACATGGAATTGAACCAGATTTTGGTAATAAAACCCAAACAATACAAGCATTAAAAAAAATGAAATCTGAAGAAATAGTTATGTGTAATAACAATGGAATGACACAAGGAGAAAGTACTGAACTATTGAAACATATTTAATACTTTATATATAAAGCTTTTATGGTGATGGCAGCTTAAACACCTCTCATATGGGAAATTAAGTCACATTCTTTGCTCAGGTATTTTCACAGACTTCAACAGAGTGTAAAAATCTTGATGTTTAAGTGGGTCTCGTCTATCAAATCTGATCTTAAATTTATATTTTCTATTAATTTCAAGTCAGGTGACTGTCTGGGCCATTCTGCAGCTTGATTTTCTTTCTCTGAAAGCATTTGAAAGTTTCCTTGGCTGTGTTTTAGATCATTGTCTTGCTGAAATTTCCACACTGGTTTCATCTTCATCATCCTGCTAATGTAGATGTTGGACTGAAGCAGCTAATATTAGTTCATACTAATGAAGGGCAGAGGGTTGCTGAATAACTACTGAGAGATTTCAGCTGCTGTCAAGGCTTTTACTGCCTTTCTACACCTCCCTTTCCTCATGTGTTCAATACTTTTTGCCTGTGTTTTTTCATTTTATTACACCTGACTTAAATTGTAAGGGTGTCACGATCCTCCAAATCCTCAATTCAATAATATTTTCGATTCTAAAGTCATGGAACGATTAGATTCTCGATTTAAAAAAGAAAAATTTCAAAGCACAAGTTATGCCATTTTAATTTTATGCAATATAATTACATCTGACCGTTGTGCGCTGTGACAGTCATGAAGCTCTGTGTTGCTCTGGAGGTCCAGCAATCTGTACTAAATGTGCACTGGTAAGACCTTCAATAACTTTTTCCTTCACAATATTGTACATGGAGGGCCTCATCATAGCTGTGAGATGCGTTCTACTTAAGATTTCGTAGCGCGGTTCCAGTACGCTAATTAATTGCCTAAAACATTAATTACCGGAGTTTTCTACCACTGAATAAGGTTGCATGTCCGTAGCTATAAATACTCCTACCCCGCTTGTAATTGCCTTTACACATGTTGAGTTACTTCAAAGACTACAGAATACACAAGACATGTCACTCGTATCTTTTAAATGGGGAAAGGTGGAACTGTCAATATGGTGAATAAAGCTCCGCCTACTAGTACAAGAGCCAACCATCGATTGCTATATGGTGAATAAAACCCGCCTTCTAGTACAGGAGCCATTCATTGATCGCTATAGACAGACGATACTCTGGGGGAGGAGCTCTGACCAGACGTGAATTTCTGCAGATTTTGTGTAATTTCGACATTTAAAATATTAAACTAAAGGGACAGTTGTTGTTTAATTTTAATTTTAGCTGTTAGGTTGACTTTCAACAAGCGTGTGTTTTTTTTCGCTTGGCAAGCCAAGGGGACGTTACATTAGGGTGTAGCAGCAATGGCGATAGCATTTTCTGATTCAATAATCAAAACTGAGCATGATTTTCGATTTAAAATCACATTTGAGACACCCTTATTAAATTGTAAACAAATAAGTTTTGTTTTCTTTGCATGTATGGATTTCTGTGGTTGGTCAAAATTTTAAGTCAACGGCACCTATAGAAATATGTTTTCTGAGAACAATGGTGATGTGTTCAATATTAATTTTCCCCTCTGTACGTCTATGAAATTTATTCATTTAACATCTAGCCTAATCCAATCTGAATCAATGCTCAGTTACCTTAGCGTGCATGGCTGTGCCGTCCTGCTCCGGCAATACGTCTGAGAGCAGAATGAGGGACTGTGATTTGCCCTCTCTTAGCGAGCGACGAATGGGTTTGGGCCTCCGCTCTCCATCAGGGGTGCGGCTCTTCTCCAGGGTCCGGCTCTTTTCCCGCTCTGAGGGTGACACAACTGGGACCGGGCTGGGGGTTTTGGTGGGAGGTGCAGCAGGGGATAGTGCTGGGACCTCTTCAGTTTTGCTCGGGGAGGAGGCAGGAGGTGTGGGTGTGGATGCAGGAGGGGTCAGTGCAGGTGTGGGAACAGGTGAAGGAGCTCTGGGGGACATTTTGTCCTGGATAACTGCTGTGGAATCTGTGATGGTGAGGATGGTGGTGGTGGCTGTGGTTGTGGCCGCCTTGACTACGTTTTCCTCATCCGGTTTCTCCTTGTCTTTCTCCTTCTCCTTCTCTCGCTCTCTCTCTTTTTCTCTTTCCCTCTCCTTCTCTCGCTCTTTCTCTGCACGCGCTGCCTCCCGGAGTGGTCGGATGAGATCGGCTATTGAAGTCTTTTTGACCTTGCCTTCAGGAACGCCGTCGCCCTTGGCCCCTCGACCTGCACGCACTTTCTTAAAGGCAAAAAAATCACCAAACTTCTTCTTAATGTTTTTGGAGGGGGCTGTGGTGGGGATGGGGGTTGTAGTGGAGGTGGTAGGAGGGGCAGTTGTGACACACGTGGGCTCTGCAGGTTGTGCTTTAATGAGGGGCTCCTCCCTCTGGTGCTTTCTGAACACGAGGAGAGGAGAGGCATGATGGGAAATGTCTTTTGACAACCGGTAAGGATATTTCTTTGTTAGAGATCATGATTTAATGATATGCTGTGATTAATTCCAGTTAAATACATGTTGATTAACAGTGATCTGCATAGATGAGTGCATTTGCATGTGTGATGTACTCACAGGGGGTCATCGGGGATGATTTTTTTGGTGAAGAACTCTTCTACACCTTCATCAACCCTCCCCATGTTCTCATTGGCCTCATTCTCGATCTCTGCGGCCTGCTCCTTTACAGACACAAACGAATACAAGGTCAGCCAACCAATTAAAATCTACTGAATATTTCATCAGAACATGAAAAACTGCATCTTAACCAAACAGAATCAAAAGATTGACGTGAGATTTGACCCTTGATCAACAACCTTAACCTCAGATGATACACCCACAGATCGCCCACAATCCTTTCACTCAGCAGCTAAAGCAAGGTGTATATTAGACCATTTATAAGAGTTCTTTATGTTTGCTGCTTGTCAAACCTAAAAACAAAGCTGTTCCCAGCTATATGCCATGTAACATAGTGAGATCTCAGTTTGCAACATCCATTCATGACACGTTCAGTGATTGTGCAACATGCTCATTCGGAAAACGGAGCCCTATATTTCATTTCTGGAGATCGCAAATTATGTAGTCAGAAGTACGTATGGCTGCATTTCATCTTTAAAATGAGCGCTACAGAGTGCTATGACAACGTTCCTTTTCATGCTTACCAGCTGACATTTTTCCTCCGTATGGACGGCTTTCCCGCTATTACCAGTTTGTCCGGTTAGCTTGACATGTACATCGGTGGATTTGAGACACAAAGAGGAGTTGACCACAACAACAGGGTTTGAGTCCAGTTTACAATAGTTCCAGAAAGCAGATAAGATAAAAACAGAAGCCAAAAAATTAAATAAACAATAACAGGATGAGAATGTGGTAAAATCTGAAAATGTGGTTATGTTTTCACGAATCCAGCAGAGGCTGTTGTGTAGGCTTTTTTAGATGTGAAATTTGGCTGCTGGTGATCTACTGACTGACCGACTGACTGACTGACTGACTGACCAAATACCCTACCCATCCCCTTCCCTAAACTCTTTTCAAAACCACAAATTGACCAGATTACCCCTTCCCTAAACCCAATTTACAGTGTTTTCAAAAGCAAAGCAGAAAAAGAAAAGCCCACGTGGCTCATTTTTTTTACTACGTTTTCAGATTTAATCACGTTCTCACTCTGTTATTTACTTATTATTTAACTTTTTGTCTTTTGTTTTTGTTTCACCTGCTTTCTGGAACTGTGCTTTGCCGGACTTGAACCCTGACTCTGCGATCAACTTCTCTCTGCATCTCATGTTCGCCATCATAGATGGAAAAACTGGTAACAGCGGAAATGCCGTCCACACGGCGAAAAGTGGTAAGCTGGTAGCTGTCGGTGCCGTTATACGTAGCTCTGGCTAAATAATTCACGCTCTCCCGAAATGAATACGGGAGTATGTTTTCACAACGTGCCTGTGCTGGTTTATTTGTTTAAATTCACAAATATTTTAATTTAATGTGGTATTTAGAGTGTCAGATCAGGTTCAGTTCACAGAAAATTACCACATAAGCTCTATCTCTTAAAGTACTGTAAATTTAAGCCACTTACATTATGCAATTGAAAATGTAATATGCACCAATTTTTTTCCAAGATGTTAATGAGAATAACAAAAGATGGTTAGAACCACTTTGTTGGACACATGGTCTTTAAAAAAAGCAAATCAATCAATCAATCAATCAATCAATCAATCAATCAATCAATCAATCAATCAATCAATCAATCAATCAGTCACTTGTGATTGTAGAGTTTGGTTGAGGGTTAAGTTGACATCATTGTGTAAATATTGCTTTTTTCTCTCTCTTTCAGATTAAAACAGATTAAACACAGCATGATTCAGACTGTGTTCAAAGTGGATTTGTCTTCAGGCGGATCTGCCAATAGTGTCCTAAGAGAGAGCCAAACCCTTCCTCACACTCGCTGTCTGTTCCCCCCCCCCCCCCCCCCCACTACCTAATATAATTACGCCCCTTAGACACAACCTCATTACACACATACACACACTTAAATGAGAGTTTGAGTGCTCATAAGAGATGACTGGTGTATCTGTCATGTATCCTCAACAAGAACACAATAGCTGCAGATATGGAGATTGTCTATAGCAAGATATGCCAGTCATGACCATTCTTAAATTTTGACTTTTGATGACATTACACTACACTGTGAATGTGTTAAATGAACACAATGATTTTCATGATGGCATTTATTAATCTTTTACTCAAACAATATATTGCCTATAAGCTGAAATCACATGGCTTCAGAAATACACGGTTGTATAATTTCTGTGATGATTAATAGATCTTTAATTTCAATATCAGAGGAGACTCTAGATTGATAATATTGAATCTAGTCTAAATTGAATCTAGACTGATTAATAAAAATAATAACTAACAGAAAATAAATGAATGAATAATTTATTACACTTAAAAAGCACTTTTCTGGGCACCCAAAGCCCTTTATGTACACACAGACACGCACAAAGGTATATAGATTAGTCAGTACCAAAACCAAAACTAGAACTAATTTAACAAACTGATGATCTTATGATATCTTATGATGAATGAACTGTAAGAGTTGAAATATTGCAAATATTTTGATATTTTTGACAATTCAAAACATGAACTGAAAACAGAGACTGGTGACTCCAAAACCCAGCAGGTGGGAATGCAGGAAAAACCGGCTCCTGCTGCATTTGCATCTGAGCCTGCTGAAACTCGGCTTCAACCACCCCAATTCACACATATGGTCATTTCAATGTTTGAATGTTCTAAATTAACCAAACTGACTTTAACTATCATGTTTGATATCATTTGAAATGTCTCAGTGCGATTGGTACAAGGATCTCATTCTCTCAGAAATAGACATAATCAAAACAATAAATATATAACTTCAGGCATCTTTTGAACCACTGTGAAGGATGTGACTTTACCACAGGCAGCACTAAGTGTGAATGCCTTTTGTTATGCACACACCCCTTTCCTTGAGGGAATTCTTGGATTATTTAAAGGGACATGAAACCCCCTCGTTTCAGCAGGGTGTTTTCACACCTCTACTTTGGAAAAAGTCAGAAAAGTGGGCGTGTCCAGCTCTGTTTAGGGGGGAGTGTCGGAGGAACTAAAGTGGGATGGTGTGGGAGTGTCTATTTGGGCACGCGTGAGTTTCAGTCAAAATACACACACAGGAGAAAGTGATGGTGTTTCACTTACATGGACATCTGTAGTCGAATTATTTGCTAAATTATTAAATGTTGGATTTTAACTGCAGTTTGGCTCTTTCATTCAGGGAATTCATTCATGCCCCTCGCGACAAACGCGATATTTGATTCGAGGATCTGCCCTAAGCGTGTATTTTTCATGCAATGTTTGATACAGCACAGCGAATGAGAGAAAAAAAAAACTCAGCATTTCCCGGAAACTTAGATGCCGCGTGTGTTATTCCGGTCACAAAATGCGGTGCAAACATGTTTGCACTCAGTGCAATAGTTAACTTAATTCGATACAAACAAACTGAATAAACAAAGAGCACTGGTCGCTCACTTACCAAATCTGTAGAGACAGGACAATCACCAGCAACTAGAGCCGCGTCTTTATGAAGAGAAGACTACAAGCGAATCCGGATTTCAGCGTTTGCAGATGAGAACAGCTCTCAGGTAAACAATGTTCCTCCTTAGACACGTAAGTTATTGTTGTCGAGCGTCGCGTACACTGTTAATCCACACGTGACTCCAGATGAGCTCTCACAGAGAGAAAATGAAAGCGAACTTAATGGCAGCAAACTATAAAAGCAACACTTCACGCTTGTTTTGCCAACACACGGTGACACTAATGAATATTAATGAAGTTGCACAATAGAGCACACTGATTGGTTTGAACCAAGCCTTACTCATGTATTAATGCAACACACTGTAAGACGTTATAAGACTCACTCTGGCACAGACGCCCAGTCTGCATGCTGGAATACACGCTATTATGTCATGACCGTGACGCAGCTTCAAAAATTCGTTTCAAACAGGAAGTACGAATTTGCTTGAAATAACGCAAAAACAACCAATTTACACTTTTTAGAGAAATATAGGTGTCCTAATAGTGTTTTTAGCAGTGTGGGACACATATACGACTGTCAACAGCTCAAAAAATGTGTTTTGGTGTTTCGTGACCCTTTAAGGTAAGGTTTGAGAAAGGCTCAGCGCGATTCTGCCTGAACCAGATCAGCCCGTAACATGGAGCCTGCTCCATGTTATGTATATTTTGAAGTCAGGAATGCATCTTTTTCATCTTGGATTTGTCTTTGATAATTTGATGTTTTGTATTGATCGTTTATGAATTAACTGACTGAATTTGGCATAATACATTTACCTGACTAATAAATTATGTTTTGAATTATTCAAACCTCGTGTTATTATCACTGATAAATGTTGTTGTCCATAGCACTACAAGCCACTGTACAGGTTATTAACGGACTAAAACATGTTAGACGGAGCAGCATGGCACGCTATACAATGTTGTTAGAGATCGGACTAACAAATTGGCATTAATTCAAGTATACTTAGAATGTAAAAGGCCAACTATTAGCTTTCTATTTAGAACAACAAAATATTGTTGAAACTAATCTAAATGTGGGTATTTAGGCCTTCATCTACAAACTTATATTAAAATACTTTGTCTTGATTAAGTAGATAACAGATCTATGGGGACCACATAAAAAATATCCTAATCTAGGTAAGTAGGGTTCTGCCGGTTTAGGATAGTAGTTAATCGCCTCTGTTTAATGACCAAGACTGACAAGCTTGTATTAAGAGATTGTATACCCGGCCGGTGCAAGTAAATGAGAATAAGGTATAATAACAAATCAAAAGAATATTCAATCATAATCTAAATTAATGTGGAAGGAAACAAAATAATCTTATCAATGTTTTATAATTGGAGTCAGATAAAACGAGGATAAACATATAATAATATTCTAAACCACCTCATACTAAAATTGGAGTCGGATATGAGTTAAGTTTAATATAGATCAACATTGTGCACTGGAAAGACCGAACATGCAGTGAACCTTCATCCACCAGTGGATACCGTCATTGGACCAACTGGCTGGACCTTACATGAACGAACGATACAGGGCAGCATGATGCCGTTTCTTTTCTCGCTTACCAGCTGA